GGGATTTATCCGAATATTTATCCTTCCCCTCCTCCTCCTGGATGGAATGTATAAATAAGATATTTCCTTTTCAAAGTGCATTCATTTTACATACGTTAAGAATTTATTAATAAAAGTTGCTATGGATGTAATTAAAATTGATTTGCTTTTATTAAAAAACCTCCATAACTTTGTCATTTTGCATCCGATCTTCATGACCCTAAAGTATGATGTTAATGTTTTTTGAAGCCCTTTCGATTTTCCTTTGCCGATTTTTCACTTTCAGTGGAATATTTTGAGATACAGAAAAAAATTCACTAAAACAAGAATTACACCATGAAGGTATGAACCGATTAAGCCCAGAGATCTATAAACAATACTACACAGAATTTACTACCCATTGGTCGAAACCGCATGTCTCTACGACGTATGGTTCTCTCAAAACTCCTGACTGTTTTGAGGTGGGCACTTAACTGCATACTATGGCTTCGCCGTAACCATGCACGTATTTTTTTTGGGTGCATGGTTACGTTTGGGTCTCGCCTTAGAATAAATAGCTTTTACGTAGGTGTTTTATTATTAATTTTCAAAAGGTATGTTCCGCACTGTTTCTGACCAAAATTTTGATGAAATAACAAACTTCAAATACATTTAGGAGGCTGTGATTTTTTTCAGCTCTGTGGGTTAACATGAACACTAGCAATAAATCGGCAAACTTTACCTCGACGGAAAAAATGCTAGATTTGCAAATTAAATATCGTAGTGTGATTTAATTTTTAATGCCGGATCGGCAATACGTGTCGCAGATTTATGGTTGAATCCTTAAAATTTACGATGAAGACTGCCCAACACAAAACAAAAATTCAATTGGGTCAATAATTTTAAATGATGGCGAAACGAGGTCTCGGGCAAAAAGTCGCCAGGACGCTCAAAATCCGTTTCTTCCACAGAAAGGCTCCGGAAACTAGAGGAACAAATAATGAGAGATCCGCGATTGAAACTGTGCTATTTAGCAGATGAGATGGGTGTTTCAAAACCAGCAATTTGTTCCATGTTAACTGAAGACTTAGGTATGAAAATGGTTTCCGCCCGTTGGGTACCAAAATTGCTTTCGGCATCTGACAAACAGGATCGAGTCGACTTTTGCAATGCCAATTTTAACCTATTAAATGAAGACTTGAACCTGCTCAATATTTTATTAGTTGCATATGGTGCTTGGGTTTACTATTATGACCCGGTGACCAAATAATAATTCCCTCAATGGAAGCACGAGGGGTTGCCACCGCCCGTGAATTGAAAAGTGCAAAAATCTGACAAAAAAATGATGATGACCACTTTCAAGGATAACAAAGGTCCCCTCCTTATAAAATTTATTGCTGTAAATACTACAATAAATGGGGCCGTGTATGCAGGAACCCCGAAGGAGCTGCGTCCTCCGGTTGAAAAGAAACGTGGGGTCAAAATAAAGAGTTGGCCTTTTTATAGACGACAACGCGCCACCTCATACCTGGCTTTTTGCGAGGGTTAGTGCAGACGAAAATCGCTTTACCTGCACAAACCACGCCCCGTGCAGTCCAGACTTGTCCCTTAGTGATTATTATTCGTTTCGAAACTTAAAGAAAAACATCAGGGGAAAACGGTTTTCGGATGATAATGAAATCAAGTCGTAAATTTTGGGATATTTTCGAGGTAAATTTTAATGAGTTATTGCTAGTGTTAATGTTAACCTACAGAACTGAAAAAAATCACAGCATTCTAAAAGTATTTGAAGTTTGTTATTTCATCAAAAGTTTGGTCAGAAACAGTGTGGAACATACATTTTGAAAATTAATAATAAAACACCCACGTAAATATTACTCATTTTAAAATTTTTACAGCCGTCAAATTACCAAATGAACACAAGCCTGAGAATGAAACCCTCTTCGAACTCGTTATCTTTCATGCTTACAAATTTTTCGTATTTTTCGAATACCTCATCACCCCAGTATTCGCCGTAATCTTTATGGTGCTCGGATTCGATCCGCAATTCTATTTTGTCCAACATGTTAGCACCACACACCCTTCGATTTGGTTTCTCGTTCGTAAGATGACCTTCAACAACGCATTTCTACTCCAATTTTGCCTCCTAACTGGACGATTTTGGGGCATGACGGTCGCACTTTATGAGGCGGAACGCATCCATGCTTTCACCTTTGGGACGATATACATCGGTATAAATACTGCCACATCGATTGTGCGGCTTATCACGAAACTTGTGAGGATTAATAAGCGGGGAATTCAGGCCGGGCTATTCCATCGTCACATTGTTTACTATGTCAGTCTGCAAATGGCTGCTCAAGCCGTGAAGGATATTCTTATGTTGTCCTTGTCCTTGGACATACGCGTCGGGATCGTTACCCTGGTAACGGTTACTTTTGTTTCGGTGCGATTAGGCCACGTGCTGCCGGACTATTTGCTACTAACTTTAGTATCCTCGGGAGTTTTTATATCCTTGTTGGCGAAAACGATCTTAAGTATGACGAGCGGTGCGTTCAAAAATGCGAAGGTTTTAAGATCCTTCAAAGAAGCAGATATTCTGCTGGAAATGCGCCACGGTCTCAAAAAGGGTTACGGTAAGGATGTCAGGAGGTTGTAACGCTCCCTATTCTATTGTGGGATTGCGTGTCCTGATTCACATCCACTTTCGCGGATGCCCCTTTTCTTTGTGACGTTGTGCAATAAATTTGTAGTAGAAAATAACTTTTTTACAAGAATAATGAATAAATTTATTTACATCAATACCGACTGAAAAATATTGTCTTTACAGAAATGCTCGTATTATAAATACGTGGGAGAGCTAATGCTATAATTTATATTTTAACTGATTATCTATACGGGAACTTATTACTAAGTTTTCGAAAATCTAAAACCTTGAACTTGATCTTGATGATTACTAAAACTAACCTGCTGATCCTGAATCTAAAACTACACTCTATTCTTCTTCTCTCTGCTTACTCTATATATACGTGATCACATAAGCCACGCCTTCTTGATCACTGCCTTTACTTACGCTACATATGCACAAACTACGCCCTCATGATCATGATGATCATGATGACGTAGGCATCATTCTGTGCACCTCATTCCTATCCTCTCTTCCCCTTCATGATCTCCTCCTGCACACAATATGGTTTGGACACACATGAGAGGCGAGATACATATGAAAACTACATCTATGTATTTTAAATCCCTTGACCTTTGAAATGCTGATGTCACATTTGCATCAGCGTTCCAATGGTTGCAAGGTTACCCGTGATGAGAATTCCGATCGGTGTGGCCGGCACGGTGTTTACAATGGTGGATAAAGATTTGAATGTGAGACTGTCCAGTGTATTTGTGGATTGTTGTGTGGAAACTTTGATGTTGTTTTAACTTTATGATGCAAGGGTTACGGAGTTCATTTAGATATAATTAATCTTTTATTAGTAGATATGTATAAACCATATCTTTATATTCCTGTCGTATTTTTGCTGAAAGATTGATAAATTTATTAAACAAAATTTCGAAATGTAAAGCTGCCACGAGACGATTTGATGTATTTATGTAGAAACTACCGTAATATTAGCAACGTAAGCTTTACCGTGTATTTATATTTCAATATGTACTGCTTTAATTTTGTAATGCAATGCAGAGTTTTAAAGCTCAATTATGTATGTAGGTACATATTTTTTTAGCTTTTTTAACAACGTTAATAAAATTTTCAACTGTATATCTTTACCTAATTTATTTCATGTGAATGTTGAATTAGTGAAAACATCTGCATCTGCAATCAAGAGATATGTAATTTGATTGGCTCAACGGCTTAAGTATGAAGTACCAATCCCCAAGGGGCGCCTACTCATCCTAAATCTTGCCATATACCTGGCATCCTGTGAATTCTTGGTGTCCACGGATTTCCAAGAAACCCTGTTCCTGTTCGTATTCAGAATGTCGGGATAAAGAACCATACAATTTTTTCAAAGTTTTCAAAATTATGTATCCCGTTGGTCGCTAATGTTCCACTAGTGGTGCAAACTATTTTCGTTTTTTCTTATTTTTCCGTTTATATTACACCATTGGTGCAATAATCTATGACAGTCATAATCTATTTTGTCGCCTTATTCCGTACCTTTGGTGGAAAGTTATATGGAAATCATTATGACAGGGTGCGCTACTTCTAACGTTACTACGGTTTATTTCAAATAAGACGTTGTCCTGGGTCATTGTTTCACTTTGGCGAAAAACTAACGCGGTTAAGCGTCATGGCACAGATTATTACCACCAGTGGCCGTGGAACATGAGGGGACATTGTAGGATAGGGCAGGGGGGGGTTTATATACATAACATGGGGAGATCAGGGCGATATCAGTGGGAACATTGTCACTCCGTACTTACGCTTCCGCGGCCACTGATTACCACAACCTGTCCAGCCAATACTAATAATTTGAAAAAAAATCTGTAAGGTTTCCGGGCAAATACCTACATATTTCATAATATGTACAGATATTTTCATGAAACCAGAAATCATTACAGAAAATTTTCCAAGGAATTTAAATTTAGACTATTAACCTTGCTTGAATAGTAGTTTTGATTGTACGTATTTATTTATTATCTACAAGCTGACAACTCTTGTAACCCACCCGGTATATCTAACGTTGCCCGCCCTCAGCCGCCAAGTTTGATAAATTGTGTGAAACTGAGTTCCCGGGACTGCATCCAACTCCCAGTACGAATCCACCCAATATTCGTTGGGTATGAATTGCTAAGGAAATATTTATAATTACGTATCTATAAAGAAATCCAAGGAAAATCTGGGGTTACACTCAAAATGAGGTGATAAAAAATCGTCATCTTGGCAGTCATAATTTCTCGCAAGATGGTAACAAACTAATAATAATATCCGCGAAATTCAAATTTATTGATCCACATATGTATGCATGATGTTAAGTTTGGTGGCAACTTTAAATTTCGTGGATATTATTGCTATGGATCATCTTCATACATAAGTTATTCAGCATTACGGTCACTTTGCAATGTTCGAATTTATTTCTGCATTATTTTGAATGTGCATGTAAGTCGTGAAATTACCCAAACCATTGGGAACGTAGGATTTGGACCTTCCGGGTGCAATCCAAGTTCCCACTGCTGATTTCCAATCCAAAGGGCCGATCGAATCAGGTAGAATCCATTGGTAGCTATGTAAAAACTGAGAAAATACTTACTGGGGAACATCACTACATAATATGTAGGTGTCCCCTACGGATTGCCACCTTAAACCCCTCCCCCCCCCGCATGGAAGCCTAGTACTCAGGACAGATTTTTCACGTGAAAAAGTTAAACAAGCAAAAACTTACCTGCATAAGCAGTATGTCATAATTTATTTTAAGAAACATTTCCGCTTGGGTAGTAAAACTCAGGTAATGAGTAATCTAACACAAAAAAACCTGTCATTTCAAGCGAAAAGTTTGTCCCGAGTACTAGGCTTAAAGAGAAATAATTTCTTCAGTTGTAACCATCTTATTTGAAGAAACGAGATTACATCTTCCACTTTAAGCGGGTACAGGTATCAAACTGTAATTCATTTTGAGGTCCCCCAGTAAATGAAACCGGATTGTTAATTGACTTAACGTTATACTCTAGTTTATATACTTGAGACAAATCTGAGCAACTTGGCTCATGCGGGATCGCATGGATTTTAGTTCCGTTAGTAATGCTGGAGTTATAGACGCTGAACGCCATCTATGGTTAATTGTTGGTTAAGTTATTAAATTGACAAGAATTTATTTATAATGCATTAATACCCCTGTTGCTGAATTAACGATTGTGTACACCCCTCCATCCACGATTGGGTCTGGTGTAGGTGTAGTTGGCGCGGATGGAGTCGTAGTTGTCGAGTCTCTATTTAAGTAAAAATTGTGTGATAACGCTAATTTGCAAGCAATTACATATCTGCCTACACATGTAGCTAACGATTACATAAACCTCTACAAACGAAATGTAACACAAGGGTGAAGGGACACGGTCACGCGGTCATGACACTTAAAGCCTACGTCTATTTCTGAAATCCTCGCCTAAAACGACGTCTAACAAGGTCAAAACCAAAAATTCAATAGCTTTGACCGTTGGCGTCATCATCTTGGCGACGTGACCTTTCGACCTACAACGTCCATCTACTAAATCATCAGTACTTCAACAAGTAGAAACATGTTTGCGAAAATTGCATGTCGAAATTCGAATCCGTTCTAAAGTTATCGTGGATACAGACGGACGGACTAACAAGACATTTCCATAAAAGGATTTCGTTTCGCTTCACCCCTTATAATAAATCTAATTTACTTTCAAGTTTGGATACAAAATTGCCAACTTACGACGTCGAGGTCGGGGGTGGAGTTGTGACAATGACACAGGGCGCAGCGTGACTGCAAACTAACAAATCTTGATCCCAAACCGTCTCGAGAGGCAGCACTGCATGATTGCTTCTCCGTTAGTGCACTCAATGAACTTCCGGCAGTCGTAGGGGTACGGGTTATAGGTGGGCACACCCTCCTCCCCTGGGGGACAGGCAACCAACTAGATTCACATAATTCATAGATATTCATGAGGAACATATTATCATGTGAAACTCTTAGAAACCCGATATTAAAATTATGCCAAGCGGTATTATACATACACGCCAACGTTATACTGGTAAATGGTAGGGCGTAGTCGCCTGGTACAGAGGTCGACGCCGCCGATCGTACGCCGCCGCGCCGCCGAACGCTTGTAGCATTTTACGCGGCGCAGCCGCCGAAAAATTTGATTTCCTATTCCTTTAACATTGCAACGCCGCGCCGCCGACGCCGCCGAAAAATTGCCAAAAACTGGCGCCTCCGCCACCGAAAATTTGTCGGCGTCGACCTCTGGCTTTACCAGATCGGTATCAAATTTTTACGATTCGGTCGGAATAATCTTAATACCAGGTGATAGCAAATTTAATACCGAGGACCAAATGACTACATATGTACATTTACCAGATTTCTAATGAGGTAAGTCCAGGATATCCCGAATTGTAAATAATTTAACCATACACTATGTAAATGAGTCAGAGAATGAAAAAAAAAAATTTAAAAATCAGTAACCAAAACTATCCCTAAACTTCAACTACTTCAATTTAAATCACAAATTAATCCTAAATTAAAAAAACTGCCGGTATTTATTTTTAGTTTAAAAAACTCTGCTATAAAAATATTTATTTGCGTAACATTTTGCTTACCTGAGGATCTCCAACACGTTCCAAAACCTTTCAGTCTGACCGACCGACCCAGCAATACAGAACGAATATTGCGACGTGACAGAGAATGACATGTCTCCTGTGATTCATGTTTTAGCTCGGTTTTATTTCGTAATTTAATAAATGTTGAATAATCGGAAAATATATAATGTACCTACATATGTATGTAAATGGTATAGACTTACTGACACTGTGACATTGATTTATCTACATTTGTATTACAAAGCTGAGCTGCATATCAGTCCAATTGTTTAAATTTTTGAGGGCCATGCATAAACCGTGTCAATGATTTCAAAAAAGTGTGGATTAACCTCTTAACGACGATGTACACACATTTATGTAGTATTTTATTTTCCGTTGATGACGAAATACGCAAATGTGCGTACCGCTTAAATTACCAAAATTTCAAAAAAGCTTATATCATTTTGTAGAAAATTTGATGATATGTAACAAGTGGATTTTCTTCGAGATTTTTCTTCTCTCATTTTGGGCTTTTTCCCATGCCGGCCAATATTAAAAACCAGATTTTTCACGTATGTGCATATTTACCTAAAAACTCTAGAAATACTAGAAAGTAATGGAAAAGTTTAATCGATTGCCAACAGGTCTAATTATATTATGAAATCGGCATCGTACAAAAGCGAAATGTTATTTAATAATTCGATAGTACAGAGGGTGTTCCATTTATTCGTGGAAGGGTTTGATATTTTTTTTACCCCACAAGGAAAACTTTTTTAAAGGCGTTACTTCCTCGATATGACGGCCCTTGTTCTTAACTTCAACAATGCTTCGCTTTTTACCGGATAAAAATACTTCCAGGCACTTTTCTAGGGTGTTTTCTTCCACTCATTATTTTAAGCGTTCCAAAAATTAGTAAAAACTAGTAAATCGTCGAATATAAAAATTGCCTTTCCTCGATGAAAAACCCGAAATAAACCAATCGGTCAATGTCTGATTATCACTCAGGGTTGTCTTGATGTTTACGACTGCAGGATCAAAATCACCATTGTCCGTTTTTGGGCAGTGCTGAGTTTTCTTGGAGGTAAGCGCCGAAAAGTTTGTGGTCTTTGAATGAGCAGACCTATAAAGGTATTTTTTGTTTTAATATTTCCCAAATTAGGTTTTTATTAGTCTCTGGATAGTTGATTTACTGCCATTTAACCGTTGGACCATTCCGCATTGGGCTTCGGGATTTTCCTGGTGGGCTAAGTCGCCCAACCGAATTTTCAGATTTTTCAGGCGTTTAGCAGGGGGTAGTTTTTCGAAGGTGATAATGCTGTTAGACTGTTGGATTGAATTCGAATGTGTCTACCATGTGTTATATTATAAATCAAGTGCAATTTATTTCATTGCAATATAATTTAAGCTCTGTTTCATAACGATTCCCGTGGAAAATCGGCTGGAAAAGTGTTTCAGTAGTACCTCTGCCTTATGTGAGAACAGTGGTCGCATTTCTTAAAATAAGTTTGCAAAAAAATTCAGGAAACTATTTTTTGAGTTGGTCTACCCGAATTTGGTCTCAAGTATGAATTTTATTTACCCGCCAGTGAGCACGGATGTCTCAAACCTTCACACGAATAAATGGGACACCCTGTATTTTATGAAAGAGGTTAAATTGTTTACATGAAAAGAAGCACATTATTACAGCTTGGGAATAAAATTTGCAAATTGTGACATACTTGATACACGTCCCTTCACTCCAAACTAAATTGGAGGGGCACAGGTCAGTGGAAAATTTTCAATTCCCAGAATTCAAGTTGTGCATGTCAGACTCGATAAGGAAGGTTTTTTTTTGTTATCACGTCCTGTTTCGCCGTACTTGGTGCAGCGTAATCCCACTTATCTGACGTGATAACGAGAAATAATTGTCACCCGCAGGAGGTGAGCAAATCAATTAAAAAGAATCAATCAAGACAGTTTTTTTATTTAAATTTATGTTACTGCTCTTCTAGGATTAAATTACTGGATTGGACAGTGAGTGTTCAAAATTACGTAAATTTTAAACAATCATATGCTACAAATCATTGGGGTCAAACTTTCCCCTGTGGGCGTGGTTATTTGCATACAAAGCGCATTTTCAGACCCCAAACCAGTAAATATGCACATATTTCAAAAAAATGGCCCAACAATTTATGGCATTTCCATCACTAAGGTGGCTCCATTTTGCAAGCTAAAAACATTTTCATTCATACGCATGATTTTTATACTTACTGATGTTGAGTAGAATTCTGGCCCGGACAAAAAGTCCTGTTTTGATGTGAATCGAGCGTGCACGCGCTCATTCCTACTTTTGCACTGATTCATGTGAAATCTTAAACTTTGTCCTGGAGATGCGAAATTTGGCATGTACATGCACCAACATATGCTGCATCATAATATAACATCAATTCCCGTTCCATTCGCTATAAATTTTTCAGGAAAAATCAAAAACCAAGAAATGATAGGGATGACATTTGGTTTTTGATTTTTCCTGATAAATTTATAGCGAATGGAACGGGAATTGATGTTATATTATGATGCAGCATATGTTAGTGCATGTGCATGCCAAATTTCGCATCTCTAGGACAAAGTTTAAGATTTCACACGAATCAGTGCAAAAGTACGGAAGAGCGCGTGCACGCTCGATTCACATCAAAACAGGACTTTTTGTCCGGGCCAGAATTCTACTCAACATCAGTAACGATAGTGAAAGAGTATGAATTTCCTCTTATTTGAATGAAAACTAATGAAATTAATCACCTGTTTTATTGCTAAAACCCCAATAAAACGCAGTAAAACCAAAAAACAATTATGCCTTTTTACTTAAAAAATTAAATCCCTGGGTTTTTCGCGTAACCTCAACACTAGTGACTCAAATCTTCAGCATACACGTTCGTACTACAAAAACAGATTAACGATTTAACATCTTATTCGCATTGGAAATTAAGGAAGTTAATTTGTATAACTTTTCTGGAGACGTCAAATCGGTTTCGGAGTAATAACGCATTAAATTTGAGCTCATTTGATGAAATTATTGCACAAAAATATTTTTACGTGTAACAATATTCACGAAAAATCTTGAGAAGTGCATGAAAATGCACTGTCTAAATTGTATTTGTAAACAATGTTTTGGATGGAATGATAAAATATCACTCTATTTTTGCAAATGCTATTTCTTAATGAAAAGGTTAAGTACATACATATTTATTTATATATGTATGCACCGCTGGAGCCCTCGCTATCAAAGAGCTACCAGGGTGCTCTCGCCAAGACGGAAAGCGCCCAGACGGTCTAACATTAGTACCGTGGGCAAGAAAGAGGCCCCTTGGATGGGACTTCACATGTTCGGATACCTTCGCACCGTCTTACCTCCCTCAAACTTGCGTTCATCCTGGTGCGGTAGCCGAAAAGGCGGAGGACGCCAAGAGGAAAAAATACGAATTCCTCTAGGACAGATTCATCGTTGTACCCGTAGCCATCGAAACAATGGAAGTGTGGGGCAAGGAGGGTCTGTCCTTATCAAGAAAATCGGATCAAGGATCACGATCAATGAATAAACTATATAAATATTATTAATCGTGCTATGTATGGGCATGCATAACAAGCGTCACGCTTCTGCTGTCCCAACCAATGGTGCAAACTGAAGCAACACTTATTTCATTGCATACCTCTGTACTAACTAATACTACGGGAAAATTCGATTATATTGGAAAATTCGGTAATTTTTGATTTCTTAGTGTGAGGACGGAGTCTATGGTCGACCCCATCCTCATCAATCCCCTCCCTCTCCCCCTACTTGGTCTCGGGAGCATGGCCAGACCACTACTCCGGAGAACCAAGCGTCTCCGTCGCCATTGCTCTCATCCTGGCTTCCACGCCGTCTTCTCCTCAGTCCCGCACCACCTCAACTCGACTACGCATCACTTTGTAGTCGATGCGCGACTCACCTCCGAAACTTCCCCAAAGTTTCTGGGAAGATAATTATTTGTCAATCTCTCTCTCTCTCTTGTAAAATCACACACACACATAAAGTACACACCCACACATAATCTATATTTAACAATTAGTAGTGTTATAAAAAACTTACCTGTTTAATAAATTAGTGTTGTTAGTAAAGAAACTATCAATTGTGCAGAAAAGGAACATTATTGGGTGTCATGGAATCTTCATAAGTGGTATTCCTCCATATTGTGCACGTACGCAAAAACTTGGACAGTTAATACGCATTAAGCCCCATATTGTGCATCTCGGAGTATTCTACACAGTGTCGCAGTAGAACCACTCCCCCATCCCCCCTTTTTGTGGTGGAGACCCCACCACGGGCCCCAGCAGAGCTGAAGAGGTCCCCTATCCGACTGTAAGGGTGTTCTCATTGTGGGACATCTGTAGCGACCCCCACCACACCCAAAAGTGGACGATTACGCTCCATCTTCCTCATCATCGTCATCCGGCCCTCTCTCAGCATCATCATCAATTCATCCCCTCATCCCATAATTAATAAGAAGGAGTTGATTAAGGGAATCGTGGGATCCCCGGAGGTTCCTGCACGAGGTATCATCCCCTCGTCCCCCAGAGGCATAAACCCCCCGAGGACCCCGACCCTTATCTCCGATCCCTTCATTAGTAAATTCGGGCTCAAATCCATTTTGATTAATTTGGAGACAAACGAACTCCAGCGGTGCGATAGTACAATCGTAGTGTTCTATTTTTTGGTAATCATTATGGATCACGTCTGTTTCTTACGTTAATTTTTTTATTTATATGTTATCTGTTGGTGACAAATCGTCATTTATTACTTCGAATTTCTTTAAATTTGACAGTTGTTTAAAATAGTTAGGAATTAGTTAACAATCATTTTGCGTAATCATTTTGGGGTGGACATTATACAACTGCACCAGATAATTTGTGGACGGGACACCTGACAATTCCCCATTGTTGCTCTGGAACAGTACTGTTCGGTGTTACAATATCTAGATCGACTCCGATATCATTGGTTACTCTAGAAATCAAAGTAAGCCTTTGATAATTTGTGGTACCAAAGCGTAATTATATAACGCTCATTCAAATCCATTACAATTTTCTGCCAATTAACTATAATAATTCCTACAAAATTCAAATTTAGGGTGGTTCAGAGCTCCACGCCGTTGAAAAATCGGCGGCGGCGGCGTGAGTAGTGAAAATCGTCGGCGGCGGCGTGAGTAGTGAAAATTGTCGGCGGCGGCGGCGCGCCACGGCGGCGGCGGCGCGCCACGGCGGCGGCGGCGCGCCACGGCGGCGGCAGCGCGCCACGGCGGCGGCGGCGCGCCACGGCGCGCCGATATTTGTGCCTCACTTTACCAGTCAGTGATCATAACTGACCTCTTTATTTAGCTTTCTAATACATAGTAATGTATTTCACTTTAACTATTTTAATTGGCTCAGCGAAAAAATAAGCCGACCCATTTTTTAAATCCGTGTTAATTCGAGTTTTCTGCATTACAGAATTTCAAAAATATTTCTCGACTAAACCCATCAGCCTTAATAACCATGTAACTCGATTCTTGACGGAAATTCGAAAATTTAAAAGTTTGCTTGAATTTTCATAAAGTGGAATGTTTGAAATCTTTCTAGATAAGTTTTAAAAAACCATAGGACTAAGCAAAATGCAAGATTCTCAAAAAGCAGCAATTTAAAAAAGTCAGGCTATTTATGTACTCAATTTGTAATGCCCAAAATATCATATTTTAAATATACGTTATCGATTCTTTAAGTGGCGTCAAAATTTGAACTCTAATTAAAAATGCGTATCGGGAAAAAACTATTCATTTTCTCAATGTCAATCACAATCACAAACGAAACTGTTAAAACCAAATTTCGACATTTTTTCTCGTTTTAACTGGTTTTAATTGTACGAAATATCTTTTTTCTCGGCGGCGCGCCGGCGTTTCTACGGCGTTCCCACATGGCTAAAAATTATGATCAATGCGGTTCAACATCAGACAAATAGTGACACAACAAAGTAACAGTTTATTAGTACCAGTTACTTGTTAGTTGCCATCCATAAATTACGTAACGCAAGAGGGGGGAGGGGGTGTCTAAGGCTTCAATGATATCGTTCCTATGTTACACATGTTAAAGGTGGGATGGGTGGGGTCTAGAAAATCGCGATTTTTACATTACGTAATTTATGGACGGCCCCTTAACGTGGCTTATTTAGGTGTACCGAACAAACTCTGACGGCACCTAATATGCAACTCCGTACATACTAACCCGGTGTATCTAACGTTGCCAGACTTTGCCGGGGAAGTTTGATAAATTGTGTAAAACTGAGTTCCCGGAACTGCATCCAACTTCCAGAACGAATTGCGATAGTAGTGTGGGCTTGGTCCGTATTCCTAAGAAAGTATATATAAGAAATCCAAGATAAACTCTAAAATTCACTCGAAATAACCTGGTAGCAAATTTTTATCTTTCAGTCGCTATGATGCTACTTATATCGTTTGTGAGTATAATTTCTCGCTAGATGGTAATAATCATATCGGTTAAATTCAAATTTGTTACCTTTCGGTATCAAGTTTCTCTTTTGCTTGTACCAATATCCGAGTATAATTGCTACATATCATCTGGCGACAAATTTCTAAATTGGTGAACAATAGTGAATATATGTAACATCCGCTCTGTAAGGTTAGGATTTATTACCATGTTATTTTGAATGTATCTGATAACTGATATGTATATTACAAATAATCTTGGGTAGTCCCTATTGTAAGCGTGCAACCCATATGTCCACTGGGAACTTCCGGTACCAAGGGCGGAACGAGTAAAGTAGAATCCATTGGTAGCTACAGTATGTAACAAAATTAGTCATAGGGTGAGCATGGGTCTCACTCTATCTGTAATGACTAACGTTCGCTTCTGAATTTCAATATAATTTGTCGACCATTTTTTCATCATGTATCTTTCTCCATATTTACAAAATTTCAGACCAGTGAGACTGGTATGCATAAAAATGAGAATTTATCGCAACAAAATTAATTGTATGCTCGAAACATGAGTGGTACAGGTAGATTCTAAAACCATGGTGGGTAACCTTGACTCAAGCAACAGGTCGTGAGTGTCCCTTGTTAGATGTTATAATTACAAACATATGTATGTACCTACATAAGTACACATGCATGTTGTCCAAGCCAGCATAACCTACATTTTTTCATTCAGTTTGGGCTATGGTTGGAATTTGTCAAAATATGTAAGTGAGGTAAAAGCTGAAAAATTAGTGATTCGTACAGAGCGGAGTAAGTACACTCCATTTCCATCGAAGTGATGAATCGTAAAAATTTTGGAATTTGATCTAAAATATTTTGACTAATTCCTGCCATCGGTCAAACTGCCTCAAGAAACCTTGTATGTATTGACGCGGACTAAGTAATTTTAAAATTTTAGGCAAATCCAAGTGTTAGATTTGAAAATGATTCTAATTTTCGAAGCCTCAATAAAAAACAATGCGTGAAAATGGGTACCCAAAAAAATCGATGTTTATGACCCTAGACCTTGATGTGAAAATGAATGGTTATTTTGGAATACGCCCCCCCCGCAATTTTGAAATGTGGTCACCCGTAAATAATGATGGACCTTGGAAGATCTCCCAGTTAATAAGAAATATTAGTAGTTGGCTTACAGTTTTGTTCTAATTTCCATAGGGAGCGTCCATAAATCACGTGATCGATTTTTGGATAATTTTGACCCCCTCCCCCCCCTTGGTGACCGGTGGTGATAATTTCGCTACCCCCCCCACCGGTCACGTGACAGGAGACGATTCTCAAATTAAATCATGTTGTCCGGAATAACAATATTTTTTAAATCAGTAATCAAATTAGACCGTGGTGCTTATCTTTCCGTTGAATAGGCACTTGGAGGTCAGATATTTGAGGGCAAAGTTCACAGTAGGGGCCTGTTTTTTTCTCAAGCGGGCGAGCGGAGGAGTGACAATTTTCTCCCCATATGCTGAGGACCGTTCTTGAAGAACGGTCCTCAGCATATGCAGACCTTAATCCCCTTAATTATGAGTCATAATTTATGACTGGTGGTCAAAATTATAGGCACAAGTATGCTCCAAATCTCCCACAAGCGTGGAAGGCCTGAGGTCACACCTACTGAAGATCTGGTCACTTTTCCCAGGAAAACCGTGCGTGCCGCGATCGAGCAGTTTTCGTCACGAATTATGTCTCCTGTATAAGCGCGCGGAGGAAATTTTGAAAAAGAAGTTATGAATTCTAAACAATATTAATACCTTGTTCTTCCATAAAAATTTCTAACGAATAGCTCTAATACTTTGTGTTTTACCAATAGAAATGCTTGTACGGGCAATTCTGGTCCGAGTATGTAGATGATTAATTTTCGTACCGAAATTTCGGATTTTTCTGCCGATGGATCAGGCAAAGTGTTCAACACACTCAACCCCGATTTGTAAACCCTCTTTACTCACCCGGTATATTTAATGTTGCCTTGGACTCCCTGATGCGTTTGAAAAATTGTGTAAAACTGACTTCTCAGAACTACATCCAACCTCCAATACGAATCCAAATAGTGTTGGCTGGGTCTATATTCCTAAGAAGATAGAACCGGATTCAGAAAGTGCGCGACAAATATTTGGCAGCACATTCAAAGGAACGTATCTAGTAAAAATCATCACCTTGTGGGGTCATTATTTACAAAGCATTCTTTACCGCGCTGGTTATAAGTTATTCCAGATGGTAGTACATAATATTCGTAAAAAATTTAAACTTGTTACTTATGTACGATATCAAATTAGCTAACATTCGGGAACAAATTGCATGATTGGACATCACACTCAAAATGCAAGGTCAAGATTTGTTACCACGCTATTTTGAATGTACAATGTTAGCTGAGAGATTACATGAATATGTGCAATCCACGTGTCCATTGTTGACTTCCAGTCCCAAGGGCGGAACGAAGAAAGTAGTATTGATTAGTAGCTAAGAATTGGAAAAATAGTTACTAGGTAACACACCGATATGTCCGTTGAATTACGGATTGACAATAAAATCGGAACATTGGAACTAGCTACGAAATAAAGTGAACATATATTTGAATAGGAATTTACATTTGTTTCCAATTTTTTGACCAAAATATTTTTTTTACTGGACTGATGTCACTTTACTTCAATAATTGGTATATGTGATAAACCGTAATTCAAGTGGAACCTCGAAATATTCCCTAGTTAATCAAAAAATTATTTCCAATTGGCTTACCATTATACTCTAGTTTCCACACTTGGGATAAATCTGAACAACTTGGAACATGACGTATGGCGTGGACTTTATTATGGTTGGTAATAATGGAGTTATACACGCTGAACGCCATCTGTGATTAGCGTGGGAAAAGTCATCAAATGTTCAGAATTTATTTATGCATATTGGACCCATACCCCTGTTGGTGAATTAACAATGGTGTATATCCCTCCATCCATGATTAGGCCTGGTGTGGGTGGGGTTGTTGTAGTTGGTGTGGTGGTAGTAGGTCGAGTGGTAGTTGGTGTGGTTGTGGTAGGTCGAGTAGTTGTAGTTGGAATCGTTGTAGTTGGAGTAACTGTAGTTGGAGTAGTTGTAGTTGGAGTGGATGTAGTTGGAGTAGTTGTAGTTGGAGTAGTTGTAGTTGGAGCAGTTGTAGTTGGAGTAGTTGTAGTTGGTGTAGTTGTAGTTGGAAAGATTGCACTTGGTGTGGCTGAGGTCGATCGTCTGAACAAATTAATACCCTCACAAATTTAATATAAGAGTTGCAATAATGAAAACTGGTATCACTTCACACACCCAAAATTTTTATTTAGATAAAACTTTCAGCAGCTGACTAAATATTCTGACAATGCGATTACGTCAGCGGTCGCTCGCCGATTTGGACAGAAATACGATAAATTAGATAAATAATTGAACACGTGCTTCAGGATATTTCATAATAGTCAGTTTAAAGAAAATTATATCGGATAGTCGGATTCCTGACCAAGGAAGTAATTCTGAGAAAATGTGTTCTTTATTTTTTTAATTGCATTCAAATTTGAGATTATTTGTAATGTTTCAAATATTTACGATTTTGGCAGAAAATTTTTCTTAGGATTTTACCACAATCGAAAACACTCGCATTAGCGAAAACGCATTAGAACAACTAAGCTAATTTCTGATAAATCCTGTCATAGGATTAATTTTAAATTGCTTGTTTCTTTGTTTGACAGGACTCAGTCAAATTTGAAGATAACAACTTCATGTCAACGCATATGTTGATAACGTTTGAAACAAATTTTAATATAATCTAAATAATTTAATCTTAAGGCATCTCCGTCGTCACGATAACGCAGGGTGTCACACTCTCGTGATTGCAAACCAGTAAATCCTGGTCCCACACGGTAATTGGGGGACAACTGTGGGCAATCGCTTCCCCGTTGCTGCACTCGATAAACTTCCGGCAATCGTAGGGATAGGGCCAATACGAGGGGACGCCATCTTCCCACGGGGGACATTCAAACACCTAACAAAAAACAATTTTGATTCAAACTTACAATATGTTTTTAAAACTATTGGCTTTACATTAAATGCAAATTAAAGCACAAATTGCTTTATTTGTCATACCTTGACCTCGACATCAGGAACGTTACCGGCTTATTCCACGTGAAACTATCAAATCGAGACCGGCATGAAATTGCCAATAATTTTATAAAAAATCATGATGATGGGACACAAAAATTTAAGTTTAACGTGTTTTCCCGTTTTAATTTATTTTGAAAATTAAAGGAAATATTCCCATTTGAAAAAACATTCAAAACCGACCAAAATTCTTAAATATTATAAAAACTGTAATGGTTGGTTTAATAGTCGTAATTTACAAAGATTTTATCTGCAGATTCGTTGCACATAAGCTTCCAGAATTTCAAAATTCTGAAAACAAAACAGTTTTAAATGCAATTTTGAAACCCAATTTAAACATCTGCCGCCACTGATCGGGAAAGTTTTGAATATTTTGTCGTGTGCCTTTGCTTAAATGTTATTTAATGCAATAAAAATTAGTTTCCCAATTGCTGGCGGCAGAAAGTTATAAGGGTTTTTCTGAGTCAGAGTTTTATACATGTACTTGTATTGCTTTGCTGTGTAAAATAATCTGAACTCTTAGCTGGGTGGGAACATTTGCAAAAATACTGCGAATGTTCCCAATCTCAGTGGCATATGCACGACACCATACACACATTCTCTCTCTCTTTCTGACTGTGTCGAATTTTGATTTGCGTGGGGAGAACATACGGCACTTCTCATGCCGCTCTCCTCCTGACCACCACCACCACTTTGCTCGGGGCGATATGTGAAGTCTCATCTTCCCATGACTTTTCCCGAATTGATACCCACGCATGGAATAAGCCTACCCTGTGCGACACAGTTTTTAATAACAATGCATGATACCAGGTAGAGAAAATATTTGAAATTATTTTTATACATAATTAATTTATGTAGATGTTTAACTGGTAAAAATTATTTTACTCTGTGCCGCAAAACTGTAATTGTATCAATTCAACTTAAGCGGACATGGTTTTATACTCGATTTTATTGGGGGTACTCATCTCATCGTGCAAATATGCACGCCACCTCCAAACAAGAAATGGAAGAGTAAACACAAAATAGGGTTACAAATCCTTACTTTTCCTTATCAGTTGCTACATATGACGCTCCAGCGTACGGTTTGACACAAAAAAATTAGATTAGTTTTGGACAAATTCCAATAGCAGAATTAATGTCTTCAATTAATTACACAAATTTAACGTGATGCAACAAAATAGTAATTCCCAAGGTAATGTTGTGCGATCTGATTTTGCGTGTATATCAAAAGACTTGAAATGGTAAAGATTAGGGGGGGGGAGGGGGTTTAATCGAAAATGTAATTTCTTAATGAAATCTTTCATTGAAACTTTCTCAGAAATATCAAAGTTCTAAGTCATAATCCTAGCCTACATAGGTCTCACAATTTTATATGCACAACTTGAAAGTCCCTAATACACAAATTGCAAATCATTGCCTTTACTAATACCTGATTTACAGATACACGTTAAATGCCAATTCCAAGTTAGATAACAACTCATCAATTTAAAGATAAGGTTCTAATTTCACTGAATTTTAGCTAGGACCCCACTTCAATGTCAAGTTTAATTAAAACTACTTTTGATCTGGGTCAATTTTTCGTTGAAATAAATTCTTATCGGGTCAAGATACCTGGAAGTTTTAATTAACTTCAATTGCTTCATTATTATTGCGAAATGTATTGCGAAATGTGAAAAAACTTAAATGAGATAAAGGAAATGAAATATTTTTTTCAAGAGAAGTGTAGAAAGCGTAGAAATTTTTTGCATATCGCATTATCGCGTAGAGTGGAACTACACACTGTAAATAAAGTTCAGCAAAATTGCCACCAAAGCAACTGTTGAGCAAAATTTACCCTGACAATGGTAAAATTTACGAAAGGTTGAGCAAAAATCTTGCAACCTTGACTAAATTTTACCTTTCGCAGGGTAAATTTTACTCAATAGTTGCTTTGGTGGCAATTTTACTCAAACCTGAGTGAATTTTACTCAAATTTATTTATGTAGAGTGCACGTTGTGGAACGAATTGTGGCGAGGCAAATACTGTTTGGAAGAAGAACCGCAATTCAATTGTTTAAGGACATCACTTGCCATTGATGAATGGGCTGATGAGCGATGCTAAAGGTAAGCTCTGCATTTATAATTCCATTCCCAGCCCCACCAAATTGATACATATATATTGATATATCTTAATTATCCCCCATATTGATATATATGTGTATTAATAGTAACACAATCATGTCCAATCATGCAACGATTTATTTAAAACGAAACCCAAATAACTGAACAATTCGCATAACTACAAAAGGAAACCCACACTGCATTTGGTAACATCGTAAAAACTTTTGCATAACATTTTCAAACTTAAATGTGTACCAATTGACGTAGAATCCTGTCAAACTAGAAATCATTCTCTTAGGCAGGATATCGAATTTAAAACAAATTTATCCAACCGTTTTACACAGTTTACAATATTGCCAAGTATTCACTGCGTGAATTTCATTATGTATTTATTTAAAATTGTACACATTTTTACTAACAAATTTATTTATTTATTTCTGAAATCACATTATTTTCTAAGCACAAACGAATTCTCGGCACCTCCACTCTTTTCTTCTTTTGAAAATTTACATGTTTTTAATCTCAGAGGACGAATTCATAGACGACGTACATGAGGCCGAGCAAGCCCAAAATGATGATATACGTCACGGCCAGGTTTTGACTTTCTTTCCTCTCCAAAATCGACTCTCGGCGTCTTCCCTCCATTTTTAAGAGCAAAATCCTCCTCAAATTTGCAAAGAGTGCAGAAAGAAAATCAGACTAATTAAGAAGATAATTAAGTGTTAATTATATATCCAATTAACGCACACTCTTAAAAATAATGTTATCCTTTTCACTAGTAAATGTACTCTGAATTAAAAATTAAAAATTACGTAATTCGCAATTAATTGAATGTTTAACTAATTAAGTAAACGATGCTAAATCCAGCGTAAACTTTACCATTTATCAAATCATAGTTACGCAGGATTTAGTATAGTTTACATAATTTACAATTTTGAGCGCATTTTCTGCTCAAAAAAGTGGTACATTATTTTTAAGAGTGTATCCATGCAATACTAATAAATATTTTTGAAGTCGCCACTCACCTTTTTTGATTAGGAAATTTTCAGAAATTATGATTCTCCCAATTTTGAGAAAAGTTGTTCCCCTCACCAGCTCGAGATTGGTTGTGAGGCGAAAAAGGTTTGCAAATTAAGGGGGACACGAACCCATCCGAAACAGAGGAGGAGGAGAGGAGAAGAAAATGAACAGGACCAAAATATGTGGGTGGGTTGGTTGAGCAATAAAATGCAATCATAACATAACTTGTATGCTTCAAAGACAAGGCAGGGTTCGGAAGTTGGGTAAGTTTCGGTACACATTTTTAGGCTGGAAGTAATTTGCGAATGCGGGTATCGAGTAGTCCGAGTATTTAGTTGGAAATCATTTTACATACAAATTTTATTGTGATGCAGTTGGGGTACTCATTACGGTTTCCCATAATTAGTCATGTTCGCAAAAAATTGATCGAAAAATTAATCTATGAAGTTACCCACTTTCAAGGCTAGTATTACATAAGTTCGCAAATTCCGTTTTCAAAATTCCAAACTCTACGAATATGCCTATTCTTAATGAATACCCCAAATACGTTAGGTGTATCTCGAACATTAGGTATTGAACAAGTGTTTCTAAGTAGTTCTGAGAAATATGCAAAATTTTGCAAAACCAGGGATGTGAAACCATGTTATGATTTTTGTAAATCAAGTTTACCCAGGAAATGCGCGTTCTAATTTTTTATAGTAGTTTGACGTGAGTAGCCCTATTTTTATAGTGAAATTATACAAATTGGAACTAACATATTTGTATATGCATTCTTAAATATTTTAAAGAGTGAAAATATTCTCTATAAAAATATTGCGTATAAATTCCATAGAATCACCTCTCCATATTTTTCACACTTTCACTCACCTGCAAAAATATCTGGCAAAAAATCCGCAACCCTGCCCACAAACCCAAGTTTATTTATAAAGCGAGTAATAAAACCGAGCCAGGAATATGATATGTTCTTTATCTCGCGTTATGACTCTCTTTCCTCTGCAAATGCATGCATCCCGAACAAATGCTCATTTTTGCACTCTGCCAAAAAGAAACACATTAACATTTTCCTACCGTATTTAACCACACCACACGATGTTAATACATAATACGTACATACGTGCATATTAGTCTGTACGAGCCACAAAAAAAAATCACGTCGCATTAACTCATCATCTGCCAAAGACTTTATTACCAGTTGGCATACATTTTAACTACAAACGAGACAAGATCACTGTCATTATTGTGTCGTTAACGCCATCCTATTTTGCATATATGTACATATGTAAATTATACGCAAAATAGGTCAAGATTACGGTCGAACATGGCAGTTTTGCAGAACTTGCAAGTAAATATGAAAAAAACATGTGAATGTGCACTTTAATTTTTGATGCGGAAGTAACTTACTGTTCAGAAAGAGACAAAAATGTGCACTGTTAGAAATCTGGTTTAGTCAGGCACGCATTGATTTCTCGGTATTAAAATTGCTACCGCAGGGTAATAAGATTTTAGCGGTTCGTAAAAATTTGCTGCAAAATTTACGACAAAACTTTAATACCTGGTTATTACTTATCAATTCCACTATGGTATAATCATTTACATATGTACCGCTTGGTATTATTTTAATACTGGATTTCTAATAGTGTGCGTAATTCCTGTGTGTCCTTCCTTACTTCACAATTCTGTTTAACCCAAAATTTTAAGAACACTGGGAACAAAATTATAGCTATGTTAAAAAACAAGTTTGGGAACATGCAAAATTTTATCTAATCCAAAATATCACGCACAAAATATCACCAAGGCAATTCATGCAGTCCTTGATAACATTGTAAATATCGTAAATTCCGTAAATTTTTAAACTTTTTAAAAATTTGACACATTTGGAAGAATACATAAATAGCCCACAAATTTTACTAAACTTGCTCAGACCACGGGCGTCACTTTATTTTTTAAAAGTTTGTTAAAAGTTATTTTACTAGTGGTACAGATTTTTGTAAGTTACAAAGCGCTGTGAGAGTCATTATTTTTATTTCTCAGGCATAAAAATCATAAAAAAATTGCACACTCAAAATTTCAGGTATAATTTTATTGAAAGGTTTACACAATTTTGGACTATTTAAATAGGTCACCCAATTAATTTCAGCGTAATAAATTCAGTCCTTCAATTTCTCCCCAGTTCACGGCAAGCACAGAATCTGGAAAAAGAAAGTTATTTATATATCTATTTCACAATTACAGAAATTAACTTCCCATTAATTTTTCACCATTTTATCAAAACTCACACTTTAAATATGCATAAATAAGCAAAATTTATGTACTCAAGGTTCTGTAGAGTAGAGGATAACACAACCAAAAGATAAAATTTATCCTACCGTTGTGCAAAACTTGTCCAAAGTTATGTAAAATTGTGTCCAACTGGTGGGTAAATTTTGCACAACGTTGGCTAATTCTTATGTACCTTTTGGTTATTTCATCTTCTTTTTTAGTAAATTTTATTTATTTTTAGTTAAAGTACCAACTCCTGCCTTCCAGCCAGCTTGTTCCATTGCCTTCAGAAACATCCCAATGTTGGTCGCCTTCCCGTTAACGCCGAAAACAGCACTAATCATGTCGTGGAAAAGGGAATGCGTGCCCCTTAGAGCGTCCGACTGGTGCCATTTTCTAGTCAACTCTTCCCTCTGGCTGACCTGGATTGGCAGATTCGCCACGATTTCGAGATAATTACCAAGTGCGCCTTCAGTCTGCATCATTGCGTTAATGAGTTTCCGCTCGATTTCTTTTTTCGGCGTGTGCACCTGTTCAGGTGGCCAAAATACTGGAAAACAAATTTTACTCATATTATATGAGTAAAATTGTAAGTAGAGAGCCCATGGGAAATAGTCGTGATGGGACATTCTGGCCTACTTATGGTCAAAAAATGGTTCTAGAAATCTCAAATTTTCGTAAAATATGCTAAATATATCTGACAATAGATATGTATAGGTATACAAACAAAAGAGACTTGAATCCATTGTGCATCTCGTATTTAACCTTTTTCTTCGCGTCCGCCGTTAATGCTTTTCCGGAAGACTTTGCAACTTCATTGTTAATTTTTTCTCACCGGAACCGAAATTTTCTCAAAATATCGTCTGTGTCACAAATCTGGAAGTATTTCTTCTTGCATAGAGTCCAAAATGTTTCGATGGGGCGAAGATAAGGGACATTAGGAAGGTTTTCTTTTTTCAAAATCAAACTGCCATTTCATCACAATGTATTTTGATGCCAGCCAAACCAGAAATTTCTTTGAAAATTTTGAACGACATTTTAATATCTCTTCGGCTTTCACTTGAGAGATATATTCCCCATGAAAAAATTGCATTCCCGGAGTTTCTGTCAAATTCTTAAGGACGTAGAACTTGTAAGTGACCAACTTTTTTGGTGTAATTTTTTTGTAAAGCTTCAGAGGTCTTGTGTTTACCATTTTTTCTTGATCATCCGTATGTTTTGGTGCAGATTTTTTTGCATACCCTTTGGCCCACAGCTTATGGGCCTTAACAAGTAGTTTGGATTTATCTTGGACCTTTAGGCCGTATCAGGCATGGACGTGGAGCGATATTTTCCAGAAATAAATTCAATCGTTTTTAATTTTCAAGGGGTCATTATGATGGTTTTTTCTCATGGTGCGTTTTTGAAGTTCACATTTTCGGATTCTCCATAACTTTTTATACATGTCTACATTTTTTCACGCCCACATCCTTGTCCGTTGAAATGGAGTTAAGCTTTCCACGAGTCTTGGTCGACCAAATTCTGGTACTTACAAAAAAACTCGTTTCGCGAGTTCGTCACTTTGAAATGGCGTACGAAATTTTTCTGTCAATGAAAACTTATGAAATTTTTGGGGTGCAATATCAGATGTATTTAACATATACCAAAGGGCGCTTTTCCTGGTGGTGACGAATTTGTCGTTGAATAACCCCGGAACGGTTTGTCGTAGCGGGTCAAAATTTTTAACAGAGGAGCATGTTATTCTCAGATAGTTGTGTGCAAAAATTCAACTCCCCACTTTCAAAAATGCCTCCCCCACAGCCCCCAGAAGTTGAGACACGCATAAAAACTGTTTCCAAACTTAAATACCCGAACAGCCGAATAACAAAACATCTTAAAATTGAAGGGAAAACGGTTTCGAAATCTGGAATCGATAAGGTATTGAAAAATATAGGTGAAAAGCGAGAAATTCTGAGTAGAGGGCAACCACCACCCCCTAGAAGAAGGCAAAAAAAGTGTCAATTCCGACCGTGTTGAGGAAAATTGACCTATTGACCTCAAAAGATAATCCACCGACCCAAAAGGAAATTTCCCGTAAGGTTGGGGTCTCTAAGCGTTCAGTGGAACGAGAAATTACGATTTTGAAAAAACGACTTGGTCGGAAATCTCGTGTGCATCAGCTGGCCAAATAACAGGAAAAAAATCGCGCCTGTGTTTACAAATAAAATTATTTGAATTTTCGGTCAAGGAATCACAGTGAGTTATTGGTGACATTTGACGAAGCACTAATTTCTCTACAAGTTACTAATTGGGTTCCAAGAGCTTACTACACGACAAATGCCGAAAACAATTCACGCAAGTTGGTGCTTCCGCGTAAGGAGAACTTTTTATAACAGCTTATGCTGGTGGGTGCAATGTCGGGTCCTGGTATCCTCCCACTTATCAAAGTCCCCCAAAAAGTGAAGGAATCTTTGAAGTATGATGTGGACCGTGTATTGAAACCACTTTTGGAATAACACTTTCCTAAATTGTACGGTAAAAAAATAAATAGGGTGATTTTTCATAATGACTCAGCGTCTTCCCAGACGGAAAAGTTGACCCAAGATTATGCAAAGGACCTTGAACCTAGATTGGGGATAAAAATCATTTCGAATAGTGAAATACCTGTATAATCCCCTGATATAAGTCAAATGGACTTGTTTGGGTTCGGATACTGGAAAAGAAAATCTTTTCTGTGGAGACCGAATTTTTTAGACGGAGTTTGGAAAGAGTTGGAATGAGTGTCTCAACTTCTGGGGGCTGTGGGGGAGGCATTTTTGAAAGTAGGGAGTTGAATTTTTGCACACCTCTATCTGAGAATAACATGCTCGTCGGTTCAAAATTTTGACCCGCTACGACAAAGCATTCCGGGGTTATTCAAGGCCAAATTCGTCACCACCAGCGAATGCGCCCTTTGGTAATACCAAAATTTGAGACTTCTAGAACCAATTTTTGACCATTTGAAGGCCAAAATGCCCGCATCACCACTATTTCCCATTGGCTCTCTACATATACCTAATTTAATATACGAATGAGTGAAGAAATTATAAGAATTTTCATGTTACTTAGAATTTTAACCAGTCTTTTAGTCTTTTTAGTTTTTTTTTGTATACAGGATATTATTGTTATGCATATATGGTGCATAAAAGCGCACAAAATGCATAAATTAAATTAATTAAGCGCACTTTATACAGGGAATTTATATTTTAAACAAATTTTATACGTCCCCACCCTCCCAGGTGGGGGTGAGCTTCAGTTATCTAAAGTTGTATGCCGATTCGAAACCTTACAGCATCAATTTGTATCCCAAGTTTTGGATTATCTACTTCTCCATCATTATCCGTCTATCAATCAATTACGCTCATAAGACTAATCCTACCGACCTGGATATAAAATTCGTACGTGACATTTGGTTCACATATGAAGTAACATGAAACTATTATTGGACAAGAAAATTTCAAAAAGCATTTGTTTTGCTTTGCTAGAAAATACATGCCTGTACATATGTATGTACATATATATGTAGCGTTTAAAAAATTTTAAAGTTATATCCCATGATTCTTAACAACTTTCACTAATTTGGTAAACATATTAAAAAGTGAAAAATGCTATGACACTAAAACACAGAAATAATGCGGAAAGTATAACATTGATTTCCTAGTTAGTCAAATATCAAGAAAAATTTCAGCTATTATATTAATATGATTACCACTATACTAATTGTTGTACTATTCGCACCTACATAAATGATTCTTGGGTACTTTCATGCATTTTACTAGATGTTTTATGGGTATTATTAAACTTTGAGCATCATTTTTGCGCCCTAGTTTCGTGCAGTTGAACAGCTCAAACACTGATTTTTAAGGTCAACTATTAATATACATATAAACCAACTAACAAAATATTATTTACATGTACGTGTATGTTATGTTTTATCATTTCGTCATAGGCTTTGCATGTGAAAAAGTTTCTTATTAAAAAAATCGGTCGCTATTTAAGTCATCTACATAATCATGAATCGAAAGAGTTAAAATCAATCAAATGAAACTACACTGATAATTTGTGGCTCAGAAAGGCTGCACAATTAAACGCTTGCGTTACGTGACAAGGGGGGGGGGTGGGCCATCAATTTTTGTGACACCAGCGTGACATAGGGGAGGGTGGGTGTCCAAAAAAGCCAAAATTTGCGTTATGAAGTTTATGAACCCCTAATGGCCGTCCCCAAACGTATGCTCACAGATTTGGACCAAACTATTTAGTGTCAATTTATCTCAAGTATAATTGGTATGAAATTTGCAAATGACACTAGCTGCCAATGCTCAGATTCATATTTGCATAAAAACAGGAGAAACCCCACCCACAAGGATGGCAAATTTTTCATTTTCCAAATTTGCTACACATTTTTCCCGCTTTGAATGCAAATAACTCCGCCAAACCTGCGCATTGGCAGATAGTTCCATTTGCAAATTTCATACTAATTATATTTGTGATCGATTGACGCTAGTTTGGTCCAAACCTGTGAGCATACGTTGGGAGACCTCTATTGTCAGTCACAATGGAACTTTTTTTCAAGCTAAACCGAGATTATATAACGAGTTATGTTAGAAAATCAAACCAAAAATTAGGAATCACATGACACCTATCATTCTGTTGAATGGTCCCTTTGACGACAAATTTTTGCGGTCAAAGCACCCACCATTACCTTAGTTATCGCCTCGGGGATGGAAAGCGAGAGTAAAATTTACTAAAAAATTGAACTTTACCCCCAAAGATTTTCTTTAAAGGGCCTTTCAAAGGAAAGAAAAGTTCCACGTGATTCCTAATTTTTGGCTTAATTTTTTGACATAACTCGCTCCAAAATCCTGGTGTCACTAATCACTAATCGACAATTCCCGTAATTTCACAAGAAGTTTTATCTATTAAAGCGACACTTGAAAACATCCCGTAGTGTCATGCTATCTAACTTACCCTATATTTCGTATTTAATTACTTGGTACCGATTGCATACCGGTTATACATTTTTACAAGCTCGTAAATTTTCGACGCCATAAATTTCAAAAATAATTAAAATTATTCACCATAAAAAATTCGAATTTACTAAACTATGTTGTTAGCACAGAAAAAAGTACATTAAAAAAACTAGCGGCGTTACCTCCCCAACGAATGTTAGTTAACTAACATCAACCAAAATCACAAAAGACACAAATTTTCACAACATATGTAAATATGTACTTACAAGATATTTTCGCAACTTCTTCTCTAGGCCATGGTACGTAATCCTCCGCCATTGTAATTTTCCTCCAAAAATTACACACGTATTCCAAATTATTTTTACAAATAGTTTTACCCTCGTGAAAGTGTTCAACTTAAAATGGGTGTCGGCCAGAAACTGAATTGTCATGCACCAACGAACTCATGTACATATGTACATACATACGTATTTACATAATTCCTGATGTTTGATAAGCCCACTGGAACCAAGAAGATAAGAAGGAACGTTGCCTACTGAAGTGGTTCGGATTATCTGCATATGCAAATGTTCAGGTATGTATGTATACACTCTTAATAAGCCGGTAAAGTCACGCAGGTAATGATTTATCGGTAATAAATTTGGTAATAATGTTTTACCATGTAGTAAAAAATCGTTACGATGATGGAAGAACTTTATTACCAAGCCATTACCAAAGGATACAACATATCAGTACCACTTTGGTAGAGTCATATAAGGTGGATCTACTAAATAGTGGATCACTTGGTGCTTTTAAAGGGTTCGTATTTATTTTCTCCCCAGTCAGTTTTCACTACTCGCGCAGACACAAATTCAGCTGTTATTTCTGAACCCGTTAATGCTTATTAATGAAAATTTTACCATGAGTAGTCCAATACCATAGGTCGATTATGACCTTCATAGAGTCTTGATAAAATGTTTAGTTGTGCAGCAATTAAACATTTAAAAAAATCGGAAAAATTTTGAAGCATCCGAAAAACTGTATGACTACGGACGAGCAGAAATTTTGTCATATACAAAAATTGGTCTAAGCGATGTAGTAAGATGTCAGCTACTACAACTACAACAATTCAGCTCAAGATTCACGAAGAACCGAAAGTTGTGTACTTAATTGTTGAAAAGAGTTAATTGACTCAAAACGACTAAAAGTTATAAACATGCAAATTTCCCATGCTACAATTCAAAAGTTTACAAAATCGACGAATTAGAGTTACATTGCTTATAAACTAACCCAGGAAACATTCACATGTCATAGGAACATTGATGACCGTCTTAAATCTGGGGAAATATTCCCAAAAAGTGGCGATTTCGGTGAGAAAAAGCAAGGTCAAGAACTATGGCGTCATATCCTCAGGACTAATGAATTCTCAAATGAGCCATATCCAGAATTGAACCTAGAACATATGGTATACAAAACCGAAAAAAAGTCGCCTGTACCACCCATGAGTGTTTCATAATGTGTATCGAAAGTTATGGTAGCGGGTAGTTTTTTGCGCGTAACGTGACAACTGTTCGTATTACACAAATATAGCACAAATAAATGCGAAGAATTTTATAGCGCAAATGCAACCAAAATACTTTGATAGCATGAGAAGCAAGGAATTTATTCCATATGTTAGTCAGTACTTTTCATGCAAGATGGTGGTGCAACTCACATGGCAAAAACTACCATGCTGCTTTCCAAAGGGCATGCTAAAACGGTTTGGAGCGAAGGGGTGTGGTCCGATAAAAATCCGGATGTTGGGGTTTTGGAGGACCTATGGCCCATACTTAAGTATGATATGCATAAAGATCCAAAACCACGGATAACAACAGAGCTAACAATGAAAATTTAAGCAAAGTTCAATCACATATCGAGAACCACTTTGGAAAAATGAGTACTTAGCGACAATTAAAGAGTTGTGGACGCGGCTAACGTGGGTGATCGAAAGACCAAATACTAAGGTATGTTTGAGAAAAAAAATTGGATTCCATGCGTGTCTCCGTTTTGAGAAATTAGCTTACCTTTTTTAACTGGCAAAAGTGGGGAGAAAATAAATCCGAACCCTTTAGTAGCGAAGTGGTCAAAAATAGGTTTCAAAATCTGAAAGTGATGGGCAATATGCCAAATATATCTAACCACATGCCACAAAAATTTCATAAGTTTTGAATGGAAAATAAATTTCGTACAAGATTTCAAAGCGAAGAAGTCGGGAAACAAGTTTTGGATAAGTATCAGAATTTGATTGACAAAGACTCGAAGAAGACCTGAGTACATTTCAACGGAGTTGGGTATTGCCGTGCAAAAATCAAGACATACATAAAAAAGTATGGAGAATCCGAAAATGTAAGCTTCAAATAACCACCATTTGAAAAAAACCATCATATCGACCCCTCAAAAGTTAAAAACGATTGAGCAGTTTTTTGAAAATGCTCCATCCACGTCGGTGCCTGATGCTGCCATGAAGTCAAAGATTAATACAAACCACTTGTACCATATTAAGGCCTATAAAATGGGGGTCAAAGCGTATGTAAAGAAATCTCCAGCAAAATGTACGTGAACTGAAGAAAAAATGGTAACCACACCAACTCTGAAGCTTTGCAACAAAAGTTTACGAAAAAAGTTGGTCATTCATGACGAGTCCTACGTCCTTAAAAACGCGACAGAAACTCCGGAAAGGCAATTTTTCATGGCAAATGTGTCTCTCAACTGAGAACCGAAGAGAAATTAAAATGTTTTTCGAAATTTCTCAAAAAATCTCAGGTTTGGCTGGCGTTCTTTAAATTTGGGCGTGTTCTGGACCCCTCATTTTAGAAGGGCTGTGGGGACGCACAGGTTTGTTTTCAGAAATGTGTGACAGTCCGTCTGATTCCTTTCATCAATGAGTATCAAAAAATATAAAATGTAATTTTGTGGACCGACCTTGGACTAATCCACAATTCAACAAGTATTAAGGAAGAAATCGAAAAAAAATTCAGTTAGACGTCGAAAAATGGAAACCCCACATGCATCCCTCATCTTCGCTCAATAAAAAAATGTCGACTATGTGTAAGAAGGCATACTCCTAGCTTTGCGAAACAGTCGATAATTCAAGAAAGTTTTGCTTCCGGTGGGAGAAAATTAGCAATGAAGTTGCAAAGTCTTCCAGAAAAGCACTAACGGCGGAGGTGAGGAAAAAGGGTAAATACGACATGGATAATAGATTAAAGTCTTCTTTGTCCGCGGATGTATAAAATTAGATATACTTGGAATATTATGCAAGAATTTCAGATTTCGAAACCTGTTTTTGACCACTTGGCTAATAAAGTTACCAAGTGATCCACTATTTAGTAGATCCACTATACTTGTGCTTTTCGGTAATGTTTATTACCAGATTATTTACAGTGTATGTGTATAAATACTACAATGAGGCTCGCAGGAGTATAGAAGAGAGAGTGGTAATTATATACCCACTGGTAAAGTCACATGTATGTACATTCGAGGGGGGGGGGCAGTACCGTACCAACCGTGGTATATTGTGGTACCAAATACCAGGCCCGGGGCCCGTAAGAGCCCGGGCCAGGTCGCAAGCTTTACACTAGATATAGTGAACTTTTTGTGAATTGAAGATTTTACAAAAAAATACTCCACGTAAATACATTTTCTTACATCTAACATTAAACTGTTTGATCTTATTCGTTTTTCATATGTAATTATTTTTGTATGAATTTCTTTGCCTTACACTTTTGTATGAATTTAGAGCAAACATAATGTATAATTTTTAATGAGGGTATTCATTATTTCTTCGTATCCGTAGTATCGTAAAATAGTTTACGAAGAAAAACAAGGGGTCAGGTTTAGTAAAAATCGTAAGCGTAGTAACGTGATTTTCGATGAGAAAATCTTACGACGCTTACAAAATCTCGTAAGCGTCGTAAGTTATTTTACGATACGAAGAATACTAAGGATACGAAGAAATAATGAATACCCTCAATGTTAATAGTTTGACTTTCGAATTTTACTTCATATACAAAATTCTGATTTTAGCTGAAACTTTCATACTTCCACTTCATTTAAAAATTCAGCTAAAAGGAAATTAGGCATATTGAAGAAAACTTAAAAGTGTGGGTCGACTTATTTCTGTCCTTAAGCAATTTAAAATTTGTAGCGTAAAAGTTGGAGAGGAGCACTTCAGGCCTACGCGTTTTTACTTACAATTCCGATATGTGTGAATTACCTGACACCAACATTTCTCAACAGTTGGCATATTTCTCTTATACTTATCTTGTGTGATTGTTGGAAATTCTGTGTATGTAAAGAGTAATAATTAAGCACTTGTTTCAGGATTTTTCATAATGCTCAACTTAAATGAAATTATGACGGAATCCGTCAGCGACAATTTCCATTTTTATTATGAAATTTTACTCATGAGGGAGAAATATACAGATTCTCGCATACGAATTACATCGTAATTCGTTGAAGCTTAAAATGCGTGGGCATGAAGTGGTTCCCTCAAATTTGGGCCCGACCAATTTTAAATTTTTACCAAACACCGAAATAACCCGACCCGTAATTTTCATTTTTCTGAATGTTCCAAATAAAGATTTTTCAAAAAGCTGTTAATTTTCTAATTTTAACGCTATTTCAAAAATGAAAGAACATGTTTGCTAAAAAATTATTTCAATAAAATTTATAAAAACTGGTTTTCGAAAAACTATTAACGATTAAAATTTTTATACTATTTCGGAATTTTGAAAAAATGCTACAGGCCAGAAAATTCGGAAAATCGAAAGTTTTTTGAAATGTGGAAGTTTCTTAAACAATTTAATTCCGTGCAAAAATGTTCTTTCATTTTTGAAATAGGATCAAAATTTATCATTTTTAAAAATTCAAATTTAGCTGAAAATGTATGGTAGGGTAAGTACCTTCGTTTCTCAAATTGGTTGTATTCAGAGATTTGTTACGGTTTTTTCTTAGTGAGGAAAATACCTAACAACGAAAATAATTTACTAACAATGCGATGACGCCAGCGGGCTCGCTCCGATTTTGATGAAACCATGATAATTATGTAGCCTTACATAAATAATTGAACACATGTTTCGGGATTTTGCATAATGCTCAGTTTCAACAAAGTTATGATGGTATAAGTGGCCGAAAATTAGCATTTTTCTCCCTCAAAAACAAAAAAAGAAAACCTTCACGAGAAACAGGCGAATTTTCGGCCACTTATACCATCATAACTTTGTTGAAACTGAGCATTATGCAAAATCCCGAAACATGTGTTCAATTATTTATGTAAGGCTACATAATTATCATGGTTTCATCAAAATCGGAGCGAGACCGCTGGCGTCATCGCATTGTAAGTATGCATTTACCCACCCCAAAAAAGTGACCATCTGCGATATCTCAGTCAACGGATTTTGATGAAATTTTGCACCGCTTATTGTTACATAATTTAGAAATGGGATCTGGTGCGACTTAGCGAATGCTTGATTTTTACGCGAGTAATGGGCAAAAATACCCCTGGAAACGTATTTATATTTATAGCTAATTAACGGCGTATCGTAATGAAAAATTAATTTCACAAATTTTAGAGTAAATTTTTGTGCAAATTTTAAGGGTAGTATGATTAAAATCGGTTCATAAATGACAAAGTTCTTCCTATAAGAGGTGCAAAAAATTGGATGAAGCTTAAGGGGTGGTAAAAAAACAAACGCCATTGACAACAACTAATGGAATAAATATATGAGTTCTACATACTCGAGTTATGTGGCAAAATATTTGCAAACTACATGCAAAATTAAATTTCGGGCATGCGTTGTGTTTAGTATCTAAATAACTCAATAACAGGTATTAAATAAACAAGCCTCCAAAAAAGGGAAATCTTAGTGAGGCTGGGTGCAGCTATCAATGTTAAATACATTTTTCGGAACAGCATTTGCATCACCACTCTTAAAACTATCTATTCGTACATTAATTTGTATTGATCAGAATATGGATTCCTGTTGTCTTCAGTCGAAGTCTTTAGTTCAATATATTTAATTGCAGTAATTATTATATAATTATTGTTAATAATTATGTAATTAAGTCCGTCCTGATGACGATCGAAACCGAGATCGAAAACTTGACACCATTAAAAAACAATAAGGTTTTTCATTGGGCGTACTCACGACAACTTCTTATTTCGCATCGCAACTCATTTAGCAAACTTGCGAAGATCAAAATATTTGTGTCGTGAGGGGGTTCGCAAAATATGACTTCGCAAAACTCTCCAATTTCGCAAATCTACTGAAAAACACCTATTTTGGTATTGTTTCCATGGATTTCTTTAATTTCCCTTGCTGACGATGGTGAGAATGAGTTTGCGAAGTAATTTTGCGAAATAAGATAAAACTACATTTAAAAAACAGCATTCTTCGGTGAGGGTGCGACTAAAAACTTTTAAACAAGAGCATTGAGCAAATTTTGAAATTTAATATTTACCAAGTTCTACCTCACCGTGGGCATTATTTATATACCAAATCAATTTGGGCCCACGGTGAGGCAAACGTTGGTAAATGTTAAATTTCAAAATTTGCTCAATGCTCTTGTTTAAAAGTTTTTAGTCGCACCCTCACCGAAGAATGCTGTTTTTCAAATGTAGTTTTATTTACTGGTTTTTGCGTGGAAATTTTTTTGTTAGTCACTAATAGCAATCAGCTAGGTGCAGTTATGAAAAGTCTTTTAAGCAGCGTAAATGGCTGCAGATACCACCATCAAAACTTTCTCATTTTTCGACCGATTTTTCTCGAACGTGTCTCAAATGATGCGTGATCAGTGCCCGGACACTAAAATCAGCTACTGGCATGGTCATTGTATGGCAAAATTGAATTTCCGGTTCGTTTTAAAGTTTCGAAGGTCCTAAAATTCTTGCAATATTAGACTTTCGTAACGAGAAAGATGAAAAGACACTAGATTTCGTAATTGTCTGATTTTTTTGTTTCAACAATTTTTCACTAAATTCAACCGGTCGAGCTGTAGCGTTGACAGAAGTTTTAGAACCCTGTCTTGAAAGCATACCTTGGGTTCGCCGTAACCATGCGCTTTTCTGTCGTGAGGGTAGCCCTTGGTTACTTTCCTCACCTCAGAAAAAAGCCCAATTGCTGGGTAAATTTGCGAAAAAAAATCCCATGGTTTTCCAGCAAAATTTTTGCGAAATCTCGCATATCACGCAAAACTTCGCAAGTTATGTTTCTATGCTCAATTTGCGAGATATGCGAAGGTTGATGTGAGTACGCTCATTGTTATTCAATTTGTACATCTACAATGTACGTAATCAATAATTCTACCAGTAATTAAATCATCTAGGCTAAAATAGTTTGGAGAGTCGTGATTCAAATGCTGTTCCGAAAAATGTATTTAATATTGATAGCTGTACCCAGCCTCACTAAGATTTCCCTTTTTTGGGGGCTTGTTTATTAAATATTGCCCCCGGAAGCCTTTAAAAACCAAGTTGTCGGGATCTTCGGTTTTTGAGCCCCAAAAGTGGTTGGAGGCAACTTTCTTCAACTTTACGTTATTTATCTATTATTGCCCTATACTAATCTCAAAAATTAAATAATAAAAAGCCGTGGCCCGCCGGCACCCTAAAAGTTCATTACTCCTTCGTATGCGAGAATCTGTATTTTTCTCCCTCGCGAGAAAATTTTCACGATAAAAATGGAAATTCTCGCTCCCGGATTCCGTCATAATTTCATTTAAGCTGAGCATTATGAATCCTGAAACACGTGTTCAATTATTTGTCTAAGGTTACATAATCATCGTGATTTCGCCAAAATCGGAGCGAAACCGCTGGCGTCATCTCATTGTTAGTCAGGCTGTAGTCTGACGGCGTCAGGCCCAAATGTGTACAATTGTATATTTTTATATTCTTACCGCTTGGTTCAATTTTAAAAACTATTTTCAGCCAAGACGTTAGCTTTTGAAAATATTGTGTCTTTGAATTTGTACCTGAGTTCAAGAAATATAAAATGGGCGCTTTAAGAATTAAATTGAATTAAGTTTTAGTTCCTGCATTTTCACAAATTCCAAATTTTTCTACTAATTTTTCAAACTTTTAAAACGGACAGAAAAGTAATTAATCTCGAAGGTTTTGGGAGGGGTTGGGAAGTAAGCGAAAAGTTCTCCATATTCGCATATTTATGCAACGTCAAGGTGTTTATAATTGAATTTTCTCCGTCCCTTCGATGTCGTCAAAAATATTGCTGAGTTAAAAGTGCAAGCAAATTGCTACTAAGTATTTTCCCGTGGAACATAGTATGCTCTTAATACGTGGAATATTACTTCGTTCCAAAATACTATCATTGTGGAGCAAAAACTATTACGTAATATCGGATATATTGAACTTATGAAAGGGCCCGGCACTGAAGCTCATACCAGGCCTGAAAATTTCACGGTACGGCTCTGGGGGGGGGGTCAGAAAGTAATCGGCCTGAACATGCTCCCGCAATAAATTTGGGGTACATACTTGTCCTACGACTTTCCAGTTTAGTCCCCCTGCGAGGTTGACGCACTTGGTTTGTGTACATTGCATACATAAACTGTACCCCAGTTTTATGAATGATTTTAGAAAAAAAGACAAAACTCCTGGTTTCAACTCATCAATCGTCGAAATCTCCACCACCTGAGGTTTTTTTTCAAATTTTGAAATAGATTGTAGGCACTACAGGCCAGGAGTAGATTGTAAGGGGGATGAAGTAATTTTGGCATTTTCAGCTTAAAATGACACCCTTGGAAACTTTGGATTTTTTATTGGAAAGTTGTCCTGTAAGCGACGCGATATTTGTCCTTGTCGTTTCTCTACAATGGCTTAATTAATTATTCAAAACTGCGGTATAATAAGCATCTGGTCTGGCCTTTTTTCGGAGCCGAAATGTCCAGAACGGAGTAAAAATCCCCCACACGATTTATGTATAGCCCCATAATTTGCCCTGCTGATCTCGATATTTCCGGAAATGTCAGTTATGCATAGCCTTGAATTTTTTTTCAATTAGTCCCATATTTTCCTCATTGTTTAACCGATAAATCCTGCCTTTAATTACTACAAAAATTCGTTAAAACAGGAGTAGTCAAGTTCAAAGTCAACAAGTTTTCCACCCTGACGAACCGGATGTGGTTGCGGTCTCGAGGTATTTACGTATGTATGCACACTCTTTTACCCAATATGTATAAGTATATCACCCCTGATCTATCAAGGGGCCGTACACAAAGCCTGTGATCAATGTTCGTGGAATTTTGACCCTACCCCTTGATGTTGCCTGTACGCCACATGTTGTAGTTATTATTGAAGGATAGCATGCATGCCTTGACCCTCCATCTCCCCCCTCAAATGGAGCACATGCTTTCTGCACAGTCCCCAACGTAGTGGACATTTAACAAAAATTTGCAAAAATGCAAAGCATGAAATCCATTTAAAGAAACACATTTAAAGAAGCTATTAATAATTTATTTGCACATGTACGTATGTACGCCTGGTTAACCGCAAAACATTACTTTACTACAATTTCTTACGTATTTCTTGATCAGTACTATTTGGTCCACGGCTTATCCGTGATTAGTGCGATTCGGATCAAAATCACGATCTTGCAAAATGTCGAGATTTATAATTATCCATAGATTTTGCTGCATTAAAATAATCCTCACGGTGAGGCTGTCATATAAAAAGTGGAATAATTCGCATTAAACTGTATCAATTTTAATATTTAGGTGATTGGTCTCGTCCAAATTTTACTGATTGTACTCGAGATGTGGCATCAGTCAGAAATCCGTGGTAATTTTGAACAAATTAGCCAAAGATGCGATTTATTTATTTACATATGTACGCAGTGATTGATAACTTGTAAAATCCGCGAGTTTTGTAAAATAATTTGCAAACTTTAAAAATATAAGGAGTTGTAACTTTACAAAAATTTTAATTCTAAAAAAATTCTAAAAATGTATAAATAAAATTTGTAAAAGTTTGTAAGTTTACGAATTTTACAATGTCACGAAGCACTGCGTGAACCCTTTCGAAGGAAGTGACCACAAAATTTTGTAAATTCGTAAAATATGTTTTTCTTTCTTGTTTAGAAGACTCCGAAACCACCAAAATTTTCCAGTATAGCCGAATCGCTTGTGAGATATTGATGTTTTTGGTTGGGCTCGTTTTCACAGTTTCGATACGACTGGTAAATAGCTGCATATTTACATTTACATATTCAAAACACAAGATTTCAAATACTTCAACCTACTTCATTCTGTTATGACAGGTTAACGGGAAACTTTTGGCCGTATGCATGCCGATACTTTTAGTGTTAGGGCTTTTTCGAAAAATGTCGACACTTTATTACATTTGTCTCCTCCGTGGAAAATCCTCTTCCTGGACACATCACTCCACTACAGCCAGTGCCATGTCTTTCGTCACAACGATGTCGTACGCCTTCATTTACAACTGGGTTCTTACTTTCGTCTGGAAAAACAAAATTTGTCGGATCACAGAGACACATACGGAAAAATTTTGTGGACTTCGGATCACAAAATTGCTCGCGGCTTCTTCAATAAACTCAATTCTGGTAAAATCGCAATTGTACAATTTTGCCAAATAATTACGTTCTTGAACTGCAAACTGGTGGGGATCAAGTCGTTTCATTTAGAGTGAACCAACCCTGTCAAAGGTTTTTAATCTCACTGTACACAATTTAATGTCTTTAAGTACAAATTGCTTAAATTATGTCTGTATGTATGCATATCAAAATTATGCATATATGTAGATATATTGAATCAGATCAAATTAATTTTGTTGAAATTTAAGATAAATGCAACTTATAACCTTACTGTGTTTTTTAGTATATACTACAAAACTATTTATCTATTTGAAAAAAAAATATTCCGAAAAAATAGCAAATGAAAATTTATCAATATTCGAAAACCTGAGAACCTTATAAAATTGCCAAACTCTTAAAATTTGAAACATGTCGTGCAATGTTTGCCCAAATTGTCCCATCGACTTTGCAGTCCCCTCAAGGACGGAATTTGCATATCCATATCTCAACAAATTATTAACCACTTTAATATTACAGGCACTAATATTTCTGTTCTGGAATCGTATCTCCATCTATATTAATAGTGACTGGAGACGTGCAGTTTTTTCGGGTTAGCTTACTTACATAATATTTCCAAGAATTTTGACTTGGAATCTCAATTAATCGTATCTAATTTATATCGTGACAATATTTCTAGAAATTTGGTACACAGTTTGTTCTCCATTTTTGACCCTGCCGATAACAATTTTGTTAGGAATGATCTTATACAATTTACTGATCGGTTTGAGGCAGGTAAATTACTTTTGATCAGAGGACGGAAATGTATTTATTTTCGATTGATGACGACTGATGGTTAAAATTTCTCTGTTTTTCCCCTACAACGCAAAAATTTCAAAATGTTTTTTTTACATCTTATTCAATATTTTTAGATTTTCAGGCACATTTATTTATAAACATTGCTTCCATTATTTCAAAAACGCATGGTTAAACCGTTCAGATACATATGTATTTCTCAAAAATAAGTGTTTGGAAATTTAAATTTTTATGTACGCTTTTTGAGTAAATATAAATGTTTCGTATTTCGTTAGGTATTTTGTTGTTATTTTTACAAATATTCAACACGTACTTATTTATTCAAGAGAATTTTCTTAAATGCATACCCGCCTTATGATTGTGAAGTATTTAATTATTTAATTACCTGCGAATTTCCAATTTTTGAGAATACTTTAATTTATTTCAGAAATCTATTCCTAACTTGAAACGTTGTAGTAACGCGATGTGGCTTTTTATCGCATTTTTTGGAGCCACCAAAGTTTTATGGACTTCGCAAGAAAGGGATGTCCTTGTCCTGACGAATGTTCGATTTGTCGCCCTTTGCATTCTTTTCGTATTCAACATTTGCCATGTCCTGGGAACAGTTACGCTTTTGTTTCTGCACGTTAAAAATTTAAAGCAGGCTCGGAAGCCTGGTAATCTGGGGAAGAAAAGCTCATCACATGATACAGAATACAAGAGCGGCAAAGACGAACTAAACATTCGTTCCATTCCAGCAAACAGAATTAAAGGTATGCAAATATGTATTTATACAAATGTAGAGTATTGTTGTTTCCAGAATCCAATTCCGATTTAAGCCCACTAACAATTAGAGGTCTCCGACCATATGCACTCCGGAGTTGTGTCGGATATCCGTTATTTCGGATAATCCGTGGCTCGCTGTTTGGATTGGATCGGATTTTTTTTAATCCTAGAAAATGATCGGATCGGAGCGTATTTCTCTGATCTGACCAAGGTTTGATGCGCTCCGATTTTGGCCAAATTAGTGTCAAGCAACCACGATTGAATTAGTATGAAATATCTAAAAGATGCGGTCCCCCAATAGGCACGTTTGGCAGATATTTATGTAGATATTTGCATCCGAATCGCGCCACAGAGTAGGCAAGTTCTACACTTTCCAAATTCAATGTGGGGTTTTTCCTCGGCAGATGCAAATATTTCTTTGTGTAAATTTCTACTTAATTAAATGTTTGATGGATGGACATAGATTTGTCGAAATCGGAGAGCATACGCTAGGAGACCTCCCTTGTAAGAATTCTCATACAGCCATGTGAAAATGGTTTATTTACGATTTCCAATTTTTTGCCAACTAATACTTTGGGAAATTTTGCATATTACTATTTTTCAAGCCAATCTTTATTTTTGGTACTGACACAAACTCACATTTAATACGGTAAATAAATTAATTTATGTCTTGACTTTAGTGGAAGCCATTTCAATCGGGACGGGATTCTCTTCTACCGTTCATCCCGGTCAGGTAAGGTCCTCGTCGCACCACGGAAAATCCTCCACAACGACACCAGTTGCGATTAAGATAGTCTCCAAGACGATCAACAGCACAGTAATTTTCCAAGAGTTGAAAAACATGGCGAGATTAATGATCCCACGGGAGGGGAAGACGCATCCCAACGTGATTTATTTCTTGGGAGCCTGTTTCCTAAATTCTGGTAACAAACTTAGTTATACAAGCTATATAAGCTACATAGTTACGTAGACTGTGCCGAACTTGCAAAACTTAATCCATAATTTTTGCAAACAAAAATTGCGCATAAATTTTACACAATTTATATATTTTTTCAGAAACACCAAGTAATCCTTTAGGACCGGTCAACATTATCATGGAACTTTGTCGCCATGGAAGTTTGATCCAGTATTTACGCCGAATTAGGGATGACCCAGAAAACTCACGAGACCCGACACAATTGGATAAGTGGTCCCTTCAAGTCGCGAATGGAATGACGTTTTTGGCAGAATTAAATGTAACACATGTATATACACAAATTTTCTAAAATTGCACGGGATAATTACACTCAAAACAAAACGGTGTCAATATATGACTTAACCGCCTTGGTTACAATTGTGATTCCGAGTAGTAATAAATTTTTTCCGTCCGGTCATAACATTGTAACTACCGGTATCAAAATCATCATAACTCGGATTCAACATTGAAACCAAGGCGGTTAAGTCATATATAGGGTTCTACATGTCATATTTGTCATGTCATATTTGTCCGTCGTAAATGTCAAATGTCATAAATGTCAGACATTTACCGATGGTGTCAATGTCAGACATTTATGACAAATTGACATATACAGAAAATTTCATAAATGTCATAAATGTCATGACATTTATGACATGTCAGTGGACATTTTCAGAGCCATCGAGTTCTTAATACTGACTCAACTTCCCCGCTTTATTCAATCTGTGCACATTTCAACTTTGATTCAACTTGACTTGATCGATGATGAAGAAATAACTTGTTAATTATTTTACACCGTTATAATTGATCTTCATGTATTACAAGGACAGATAAATTGGTAAGTTACTATTATATAATAGGATTTACTAAATCGCGTAAAGATTTTCGTAATCTTTAAATGGAAAATTCGGTTTGTGGCATCAAAGCAATATTATTTATTTAACCTTTTTATTTGTTTCAGATATATTTCAAGCGCCATGAAAACGGCAGATCGAATTTGGCTGGAGTGGAAGGTTGTAGGTGACAAGGCAACTTGCCGACACTGCAATCATAAAACAATAATAAAACATGCCACAAGGTGCAAGGAACATACGTCCACCTGTTCAAGTGCACCACCCGCAATTCGGCAGAAATACGTTGCAGATCTGACGGACTTGAAATTGCGACAAACTAGTCTAAGACCTGTAACGCTGGCAGTGCAGAAAATGGATGACTCGAATCAAGAGCTGGAGTTGGTCGAGGAAATCTGCGCCAATGCTGACGAGCTCTCGACTACAATTCCCAGTACTACAACGGCAAAACGACATCATTCGTCCTTCTCGCAATCAAGGCTTCTTTCAATTAACGCTATTTCGAAACTTAAGATGAAAGAACTGCAGACAATCTGGGTGAATGCCATGATAAATGGAAACATCCCATTCAACTGGCTACAAGATCCAGTTTTGAATAGTTTTTTTTCAAAAACTGGGCTCAGGATTCGTCATGCCTTCTCCGCGACAGGCGTCTACATCAATTTTGAGCGCACTGAATAAAGACGCACTTACTTGTGTAAACGATGCTATTTCTAATAACCGGCACCTTTCAATCATTATTGACGGGTGGAAAAATTGTCGGGGAGTTCCAGTTATCAACATAATTTTGGCAAATCCCTCATCTTGTATTTTCTACAAGAGTTATGAACCAGGTGAGTACTTACACATGTTTATAAAATATACCACAAATTGTACGATTCGCCTTATATGCACGTATTTGACTATAATTTTATTTTGCACACATTCCAGGGGCCAATAGGGAGACTGGAGAGTATTTGGCTTCAGTAATTAATGGAGTAATAGAAGAAGTACAGGCCACTCATGGACAAGGAAAAATTGTCGCGATTGTCACTGACCAAGGAAGCAACTTTGTGAGAGCACGACGCGTAATTTCTAATGAGGAAACTATTTTGTCCATCAATTGCGGTGCACATATGCCAAATCTGCTAGCTGAAGATATTTCAAAAATTCCTAGTATCAATCGTTTCCTTAAAAAGTCCACCAACGTTGTCAAAGAAATTAAGAAGTCCATACTTAAACTTGCTCAATATTATGATGAATATCAGAAATGGATTGACTATGAAAGAGTAAAAGGAAATACGCCAAAATCTCGTGTCACTCTAACCCTTCCTTCGAAGACAAGATGGTATGGAATCAGGGATATGTTTCATAAATTACTGAGAGCAAGACCTGTCCTAGAAAGACTATCTATCCTTCATGAGATTGACTTCACTTCCTCCACTCGAATGGCTTTAAAGGATGACTCTTTTTGGACTAAGCTCGAACACGTGGCTCCACTTTTTAGAACAATTACTGATGGTAGTTTTCATAAATATTTTATTGAAAACCAAGCTCTTTCTTAATCTTTCTTCATTTTGTAAACTATTTTTGCAGTTATTGCAATTACGGAAGGAAATTCGTCTACGTTGTCGGACGTGGTAGAAGAATTTGAAAAATTGCGGGGAATTTTTGAACAAAACGAGGACAATTCTGACATACTAAAAAATGCCACAAATATTTCTGAAATTAAAAAATGTCAAACAATATTTAAGAACAGGACTGATATCCAAAAACTAACGAAAATTCACTACTTAGCTAACTTTTTGGATCCAAGGTATAGAGGTCAAAAATTTGTCGAAGACGAAGAAAAACTGTTGATGACACTTTCAGAACTTGAAGATTATGCGAAAAATATTGGAGTCATTCCAACTGAAGAAGCCAAGGAAGAACTCGGCCGTCAAATATCCAGTTATAGGAGGAAAGAAGGCATATTTGGAAATTCGATGCTCCACAGAGTCCCTCATTTGTATTGGGATAATTTATTATCATTCCAATCTGCGAGTATCTTAGCTACTGTTGGTGTCAGGATTTTATCAATTCCCAGTGCAGGAGCTGAAAGAAGTTTCTCAATTCAAGGAAATGTACACACAAAAAATAGAAACCGATTATTAGAAACAACTGTAGAACAAATTATGAGAATCAAGTGGAATAATCAGCAGCGGTACCCAAAAAAACTGAAAAAAGCGGTAACAAGTCTCGTTATTGAGCCGCATCAGCAGGAAGATGTGGCGTCAGATTCCGAGTCCGATGACAATTCTGACATGGAAATAGCCGAACCTTACTCGGAAAGTGAACTAGATACCTAAATGCATTTTAGAATATGTTAAAAATATCCATGTTTGTTAAAAAATAAAACATGAATAGGAATATAATTGAAAGTATGAATCATTCTTAGCGCTGTATTATTTACGGAAATCATATCGTTTAAATTTAATCTGGAGGTTCTAAATGTCATAACTGACATGTCATAAATGTCATATTTGTCATATTTGTCAGACATTTATCAATAATGTCAATGTCAGACATTTATGACAAATATGACACGACATGACAAATATGACATGACGCGACATTTATTTCTTGACACGGACATTGTAGAACCCTAGTCATATATTGACACGGGCGGTGTTGATTCGACAAATTTTTATTTTGAGTGTACGTATGTAACTTATTTACAAATTTTCTAAATATATAGTTAGTTCATAGCGATATTGCTGCCCGTAATGTTCTCTTGGATGATAAATTAGTCGCGAAAATATCGGATTTCGGCATGTCCAGAAAATTGTACGATTACCAAATGTATGCCACCCTAGAACAAAAGGTGAACAAACATTAACGTTCCTGTGTTCTACACCATTTTTGTACTTACACTCTTAAAAATATTGTTACCCTTTCCAAAAGTGAGGGAAGTCTAACTTAAGCGAACTGTAGTTACAAAACCCAGAGTAAACCTTGCTTTTTATCAAGTCAAGGTTACTCTGGATTTTGGGTAATTACATAATTTATAATTCAGAGTGCAAATGCTTTCTATTATAAAAGGGTTACATCATTTTTAAGAGTGAATATCTCACTAAATTGTATCCCTTTGTTAGGAATATCCTTGGAAATGGATGGCCCCCGAGAGCCTGGATCGGCTCCAGTTTACCCACCAATCCGATGTCTGGTCTTATGGCGTCTTGCTCTGGGAAATTTACAGCCTGGGCGAAACCCCGTGGCCCGGGTTGACATGGACGTCCGATTTTGTACACAAGTTACACAACGGACTACGACTGGAACGACCTTTTTGGGCGGATAAAAATATGTGAGCAGTTTAATAAGGATATTCATGAAGCCTTCGTATCCTCATGATTCTTCGTATCATAAAATAAGTTACGACGGTTACGAGGTCTTGTTAGTGTAGTAGGATTTTGTTGTTAGAAATTTCGTTACACGGATTACGACTTTTATCGTGGTTTTCTTCGTAAACTATTTTAGGACACTTTGTAAGGATACGAGGGAATTTGGAATACCCTTCGTATAATTTATTAAAAAGATGCTGTTTCTATAATATTAATTTCGTCTTTAGATTTGTAATCATGCAAACCTGTTGGCAATTGGAGCCTGGGGAAAGACCAACATTTTCTCAAATTTCGAAACAACTGCTTCAAGATTTTATAATTAACAAATCATGAAGTTTTGTCATGCCGAAATTACTTGGGCGCAAAAATTTCAGTTTTCATTTACTTCTGCTATTTATTTTAGCTAGAAAATAACAACACTTATTAATTTGGTGTGATACATAATTGCAGATAAATTCTGCGTATCGATTATTTTAAAAATTACTTCATCAAATTGTTATGTCCAGGTTTATGTATTTCGTGAAAACTACAAAGATTCTTCAAATTTTCAATATCTCAATTCGCTTTCCATTTTTTCTACGGTGTAGAGAATTTGATCAATTCGTAATCTTGCATATTTACATTAATTGTCAATTCGTTTAGCAAGTTAAACCGAAATATATGAAATGGTGAAATCATTTAAGGATAGCGCGTATTAAGCATTATGGGTTTTCCGGAGATTTGATACCCCAAAAACCCACCAAAACTCCGGGTAGCGAACCCTGTGGCAATTGTTTGATGACAAAGTGCACAATACCATTTTGAACACACTTTTATGACAACTGCAATTTACAACTTTCTACGTACATAAGTACTGAATTATCTTCATATCCGGCCTGTTATCAAATTAGTGTAACTCCACTTAAATTAATGATCAACTCCCACACCAACTTAAGAATAACAGATTATCTACACATGCACCGCTTACGTGCTATTAAATTGCTCATAAATTAAGTATGGGATACATGAAATATTTGTGCACTTATTGTTTCACTCCTTATGTAAATATGTACCTACATATATATGTACATATTTACTGTATAAACACTAATGTTATTCTACACCCAAGTTTTGCAAATAATTCGCCAAATTTTGCAGCCCACCTTCCTGTTATTGGCACAACCAAGTATTTGTTTACTGTCCAGAAACTTTTTAATTCTATACATAAAACTAGCTATTTTTGTTGATTGTAATACACTGTTAAAAATCTGCTATAGGTACTGATTTCTCGGTATTAAAGCTGATACCATTTGGTATTACAATTATAAAGATAAGTAAAAGTTTACTATCGATACGATCAGCGTTTAATACCGAACTATTACTTCACCATAAGTATCTATTAAATTCCTACTTGTCGATATCATTTTGGTATTATTTTAATACTGAATTTCCAAGAGTGTACATCAATATGTAACTAAATTGAAAAACAATATAAATGCAAACGTGCAACTTACCATTTCCACAATTCATTTGAAGACTTTTTAGAAGAGTCCAAAAATGGTTTCCAAAATGACAAATTTATTTTCTGTTTTACTAATATTGTTTCAAATTCTTCCCGTTACATTTTCCTCAAATTTAGGGAGAACCCTGCACCATAAAATTTTCGAGGGGCGCATCTTCAACATTTTGTCAAATTTCGAAAACAATTATTTTTTCTGGACAGAATCCTCCTCAGAATTAAAAATTTCATTCATTCTCGACAAAGTGGAAGGAACTCCTCCTCGACACAAATTTCCGCGAAGGGGCGAATCCCCCGATTTTAATTTAATCTCGATCTCTACCCGATATTCGGATTCATGTTTTATACTTGTCGCGGAGATTTACACGTTCAAATTTTACCTGTTTTTGGATGATTTGCTGGAAGGAATTTCATACGCAAATTTAGACCCGCATTTCATCCTGATCCATACGTATTGGCCGGCGGCCGAATTTCTACCTGTATTTCGGCGACATACTCCGTACTGGGTTTCGTCTACATTTCTCTTCTGGCACGAACCTAGTAGAAACTTGTACAGAATATGTGTCTCTTGTCGGGATCCAATTCCTATCAGTCTCACTTCACCCGTAATAACGGATATTTCATACATACATACCTGTTCACATTCATTCATTCAATAGAGAATGGATAAATTATACATTCATTATTCAATAAATTCATGAATAACGAGTGAATAATTATTTGAAAAATTTTGACTGAATGAATATTCAAATAATATTTATTTATTCCATATTCACGAAGAATGAATAAAGGAATGAATGAAGGAATAATTTTATTAATAGTTCATTTTCCCGCTCAGAATAACCCATGTGGCATGCTTAGGATAAGCCGAATGAATGAATAGTTCTGTTCATTAATCACTCTTCACGCTATGCACGGGGTAGCTGGAGAAATCCATATAATAGGGGGGATTTGAGACAAAATGAGTAAAGAATGAATAATGGATAAATATTTATTTTCAAATTTTGAATAAATAAATAACGAATGAATAATTTATTTAAATTTTTATATTGAACGAATTTTTCCTTTTTTGAACAGGTGGTAAATCGCCACTCTCTCAGAATAGTTCCCCCCATGGAAAAATCCTTCGCCTTCATCTCCCACCATGAGGGACCACCCCCACCTCGTCGGAAAGACATGACGGCCTTACTGGGGGCTCGAAACCTGGTTCCCGACCTGCGTCGTGTACGTCCTAAGTACCCACTTGAACTACTCGCTAGTCCCGCAATACCCCAGACAACGCTCCTTAGCCTGGGTATCCTTTGGAGAATCGGCGGGAAACGTCTTTTACGAAGAAAAGTTCCTCTCAAAGAGCATGATCAAGTTCAAACTGCTAAACCATGCGACTCTCCGCTCTGAATTTGTCCTCGTTCTGTACACCGAAAAGGGCGGGAATCTGGACTTCTTCAAGTTACTGGAACCCCTCGATTTTTGGATTTGGGCCGGGCTCGGGATCGGTTTTTTGGTCACGTTTTTCCTAATTTGTGGCATCTCAGAAATAAAAGGGAACATTGGTAACGCTTTATTTACTGTGTTTTTCGTATTGCTAGACCAGTCTCAATATGCCCCGAAGGATGCGGGAAATTTGATCTTTCCGAACAAGACGACCCTTCTAATCACGACCTGGACTTTGACGTTATCCATAATTTCGACTTGTTACAAGGGCGACCTTTTCTCCTATTTCGTCACGGAAACTCCTCCCACGACGCCGGATACTTTAGAAGCTTTATCAAAGTCGGGTATCCCGATAACCACAAATACCCGGTATCCCGGATATCGGGGACAAATGGAGTCCACCCTGAAAAACTATGTGTTAGCCGATCTCGCCCAAGGGGACGATCCCTATGCCAAATTGTATGCCCGTTTGGCCGATAAAACGATCCTTCTCACCGGCAAAGTAAACTACATCGTGCTCAATATCACTCAAAACTTGCCGCTAAATACGGACCGCGGGCTTATCAAGATGCCCCAAACTTTCGCATCTCTCAGCGATAAGAGGTTATCGGACAGAATGAAAACCCTGATGAGTCGGAGTAATCGATATTTCACTCAAGAAAAGCCTAATTTCGGGGGAGCAACCTCCTTAGTGAGTCGGATCCCTTGGTACATGGATAACAACGAGTATACCGGAATCATTAAGAAGGGTTTGGCAAAGTTGTGGGAGAGCGGGATTTATGAAAATTGGCGGAAAAATCATGACATGTATTACACCGTGATGATGTTAAAGATGAACGACCTATTTAATAGGAGGCGGGCCAGGTTGAATTATTACGGTTTGGTAGTAATGAGCGGGTCTGACGTGATGACGGATGGACCATTTACCTTTAGCCAGGTGGAATTGGATAATTTGAAAATATGCTTTATTCTATATTGTGTCGGTGTTTTGGTTGGGGTACTTTGTTATTTTTGGGAAGTTAAGAAACTTATTTTAAGAAGTAGGAAAAAGCCGAGGATAGTTTTTGAGTTCAGATTTTTACACTAATTACTCCCTGAAACTTTTAGATTTTTGTACAAAATGTCCACCGACGTTTTAACTTTGTGGTAATGAAACTATTCATTTTCGAATTGCTTACTATTACTTTTCGAATACTGTTGGTTAACGATAATAAATTTGATAAGAATAAATAAAAAATATGAAAACTTAAACCATCAAGAAGAGTAGGAGCTAAAAATTTAAAAAATCTGCAAATTTTTATACATAAATACATACATAAATACCTGAAATTATCAAATGTGACGTGTTTTATTTGTTTATTTACGTATAATTAGAGAGAATGGTACATATATAAATGTTTTTAAAGGTTTAAAAAAGCTCGGCACAATCCTAAATTTGACCCGTATAAATTATTTATTGAAACTTGATGAAACTAAAAATTTAATGGATTTACAAATTTATATTTTGAAAAAGCAAATTACATACAAAACATAAGCAATTCTTACAAATCCTTTAAATTTCCTGTTCCGTATGCAAAATATTAATATGTACAAGTCCATTGTTACACAAATAGCGAAAAGTAAAATTTACCCATTTCACAGCCCCGGATTAAAGTAGAGTTTATCGCACTCTCCTAGAATATCCATTTTTGGATTCTGCCTTTCAAATCCGGGGGGAAGTTCCATATTCTTCATGACCTTGGCTACCTGGATTTTTAGACAATATTATTATTTAATTATTACAAAATACTTAAGACATTTACTCGGGACGATTTTTTTCAAACGAAAAGGCACTTGCTTCTTTCTGCATTTAGTTATTCCTTCTCTAGAATTACTTGAATTTCAAAGTTTACCAAATAGAAATGTTTCGTCCAATCAGGTGGAAAATGTTAGTTACGTTTCTTCTCTCGGTTTTTTGCGAGACCTTTTCACTTTAAAAATTCGTCCTGAGTACTAATCTTCATCTTGTACAGTACATTGATATACATTCAATTTGTTCCACTGTGCATAAAACTTTTTGAGGCGGTACACCCTAAGAAATAATGTCACCCGTTTGAAAAATAAATGCACACCGTTACAAAATCTGGAGCAAAGATAAGTCTTCTTAATCAAGTTCACGTTACGCAGGATTTAGTCTAGTGTATGTACTTAAACAATTTGGAATTCAGAGTGCACCCATCTTTCAAAAAGGTGACATTACTTATTTTTTAGAGTGTACTCTACCCTCCCTCATTACTCACCTCGTTGCGCAAACCGTCAATATGTTTTTCATGCGCTTGCTCCATGAACACTTTTGTCAAGGCGTAAATGAATCTTGATCCCGTGGCGGATTGACGTCTCGCCACGTCGGCGGGAAGGGCGGGAAAAAACAGGCGGACGTGATCCACCGAACTTGTTTCCGTTTCGTTTTTCGACTGACCCGAACCATCGTGGGACTCGAATTTCTTCTTCTTTTCAAGGCTTTGACACGCCTGAAAAAATACGAGTTTAGGCTTCTCGCTAAAAGCCGGCGCCATCTTTCTCGTAATTTCGGGTAAGAAATCGGCATAAATATTCATAGAGTTCCCGTCCGCCATTTGAATCTCGTTTAATTGGCCGTGACTCATGATAACGAAGACGAAACAATCCATTTCTTCCGTAATGAGGGACCGATATTTTTCCATGACGGCGACAATTCGCTAACAAAAGGAATGTTACAATGTTAAGTCTTTACACTCTAAAAAATATTTGGTGCTACCCTTTTGAAAAGTAAGGGCACTTTGAATTCTAAATTAAGGGAATTTTTTAATAAATTGCCTCCAAATCGATAACGTGATTTGTACACGCTCCCTTATCAAGTCAACGTTACTCTGGATTTAGTATTGTATTGTTTGTAGCTCACTTAACTAATTTTGAATTCAGAGTGCACTAACTTTGGCAAGGTCCATATATTACGTCATGAAAAAGGTGGGTGTTTTTGGGTACTTATATTATGTAAGCTTAACATAACTAGGATAAAGAATGGGTAGATAGGTGGCCGAAGATTCGGTGTTTTTCTGATAACGTTATATATGGACGCTCCCTTTTCAAAAGGGTAACACTATAGTTATAAGTACAAGATTTTTTAGCAATTTTCAATTAAATATTTATAAATTTTGTCGTCGTACGTCTTTTGCAACATTTTTTGCAACAAATGTGTTAAATCCTAATTGTTGGAATAAGTTTCCCATGTATTTTTCATCATGCTCGCACCCATCCCGGGGAGAATTTATCCTTTTTTCTCCCTTCTTCTTATCAAACATGTTGTTCATTATTAACGCGACGCCGCGTGGTTTCGAAGACATTTTGTATATCTACATTTCAACGAAGGGTTTTAGTAAATCTTTTAAAAATTTCAAAAATAACAAATGAATATTTAAAAACTTAGGCGATTCTTTTGCAAAATCCGTAAACTTTTACAAGGATTTCCGAGGAAAATTTTTGTAAATTTACTCATTCTCATTATTTTGTAAAATTTCAATTATTTTGCAAAATTCACAGATTTTACAAAATTACCAAAAGCTACAGTACATAAATTGTTTTACTAATTAATTATGAAATACGTTTCATACCCCACTTCCGGATTTGGCTTCCTTCGCCTTGACGACTTTTACTTTTAGGATTTCTCCTTCAAAATATCCACCAACACTTGTTCCGTCGGGAAGTTCAGTTTCTAAACTTGCCAAATTTTGATTAAATTATTTTTCGAAAAATTAAAAATTTTGTGAATAAAAATAAATAAAATTTACCCAAGATTGAGTTAAATAGAGGACGGCATAAAATTGGGCTGGATAAGTTATGCACAATTGTTATGTCATTCTCTATTTGACTTTGACAATGAGTAGCTTTTACTAATTTTTACACATGTACAGTGTACTTAAGGGTCTATTGCATGCGTGTTTTGCATTCGAATTGTTACGTCTCAACTTACCCTTCTTACATACATTCAGCATGGTATTTTGAAACCTATTCATATCCGTGTACATATTTAATAAAAAATGAAAATCTTATTGCGTTTAAAAATCTATAATTTTTAGATTTCAAAAGTTAGGAGGTTATACTTTTAAGTCTTTGTTATCAGAAATTATTTAATTTTTCTTATTATTTTTCATCTTTTTTTATATTTTATTATGGAATAAAAAACACTCAAAATTGTAACCTCCTAAACTTGGGAAACTAAAAATTATCGATTTTTAGATGGAATAACATCTTCATTGAAAAGACGCATGGAGATAGTTGATACACCACAATTCAAATTCAAAACCCGTATGCAATAAACCCTTAAGAACTTTATAATCACTTCATACCCGCTTGTATTGGATCAAATTCGAAAAACCCTTCATCCAAAGCAGATTTCGGATTTGGGAATGGCCCCAGATCTTCCTTAGCATCCACAGTGTCCTCACCATTTCCTTGTAAATGTTGCTGTGCGGCGAGAATTTCCACCACGGCCTCGTCAAGGCCTTCAATTTCTCCCCAGTTTGCCGCAACGACAGCATCTACATATATAAAGTTATAGCTAAATAAATTTGGTTAACCCTTTATGGCTGATGATTCTTTCTTACAAGGGATACTTTCAAGGTGATAGTCGTGTCCACTATGTTTTTTAGAATCTACTAGAACCCTAGATCAAGGATCCATTCTTAGTTCTGTGGAAAAGTTATATTTAGCGTCGTGCCGTGGGGCCAAATTCGCCAAATTCGAATGTTTTTATTTTTGAAACCGCCATAACTTTTGAAATCCCGGACGGATTTTAAAAATGTTTGGCAAAAATCATGACAGGGAGTTCAACTTTCGTATTCCATGAATTTTTTTCCAAAATTATCACTTAGGTTTTTGGCTAAATTTCGTAATTTTATTATACATTTGGGTTCTTTGAAAAATGCTAAAAATATCTCATAAACTATCATTTTTTATTTTTTGTGTAAAATTTCGACGTTTGTGATCATTTTAAGCATACAATTTTGAAAATCCCACTTAAACTGCAAAAGCTATGGCGGTTTGATATTGGGCGAAAATGCAAAATTTTAAATTTGTCGCCACGCCATGGCGGTAAATATGAATTTTACACGGGAATATGAATAGACCCTTCATCTAGGGTCCTAGCAGATTCTAAAAGCATACTGGGTACTCTGGACACGACCGGCATCTCGCATCCCTAGTTAGAGAAAATTCTTCAAAACAGTGTCTTCGTTTCGAACAAATGGGTTAATATTTATAGTTGGCACCACAGAGTTGGATGTTTGTGTAGGTAGAGACCGAACACACCGGAAAAACATTACCAAATTAGAACGAACAAATTTGGATAATCGATAAAACGTTAAACCTTTTAAGTGATGGAATGTTTAACAGAAATTCTGGTTAAAATTTCCTAATGTAAGATGGAAATTAATGTATTCTTCCTGCTGTAAAATTTGAGACATTTGCACCACCAAATTTCGCGCAGGTGTATTCACTTCATTGCTAACCAAACTTCGTACTTTCGCAAAAGTTACATATGTAAATATCCAACTCTGTTCCCACTATTTATCATTGATTTACATACCACTTCCATCCTGCCACTCTCTCATCGCGTCCAAAAATATCCCCACCTTTGATTCCGCCCCCTTCCTACCAATGACTTTGTCAATCAATTCTTTGAACAGTGTGTACGAACAGGCGGAATTGAATGCGGAAAGCTTAGCGGTGTAATACAGGCTGGTCAATTCTCCCTTTTTATCGTTTGCAATAGGTAGTTCGTTCACAATTTGGAGGTAATTATTTAGTGCACCGGCTGGCTGTATCATGGCGTTAATTAGTTTCCCTTTTATTACATTGCCTATTTCCTGCTGCCTCGGCCAAAATACTGAAATAAGAATGTTTTTCGGGTTAAATTTAATGCCCACTTATTTAGCTGAAATTTCCCACTTAATACGATGAGACCTCCAACCACCTGAACTTTATACTATTTATGATTTTAGAACCACCTATGTAGCCGAAATTTGCCACTTAATACATATGTATTAAGTGGCAAATTTCACCCACAAATTTCAGTTGGGACCCCCAACTGGCTAAACCTACCACTATTTATGATTTTGGAACCACGTAATTAGGTATTGGTTAACACTTAATTATGTACATAAGGCTTCACTAGGGTTAAAGTTTTCCAAAATTTCGTCCAAGGTACATAAGTACATAAAACATTTTATTATTGGTAAATATGTACAAACGTGATAAATGAAAATGTTTTTCAGACCTTAAAGTTTTCATACATTGTTAGAAATGCATACATTATTAAAATAATACCAACCGGTATTCATAGATGAGTATATCAATGGATTATACATATGTACGTTGTTGAAATTGCACCGTAAATTTCTACGAACTGAGATAATTTTGATACCAAGAGGTATCAACTTTAATACTAAAAAATCAACATCTGTGTGAGTGCACATACCTGATTTCTAACAGTGTCAACACCGGGGAACAATTTATTACCAACAAAGTTAAAGCTACATATGTACATATGCATGACAAATTTTTCGATTTTATGTATATTTACTACATTATCGGACAATTCCGCAGGGCCGACACATATGCACCTGAAGAGGAGCAAATTAAATTTTCAAACTGTACAATTTGTTATCATATTGACATGAAATTCTCATATATATTATTCAAGTATTATTGTCTAATACGAATTTTAGGAAGAAGCCCACGCGTGACCTATTTATTTGTCCTAAAATTTTAAATATTGTGACCAAATTTGATTTTAGTCGACCATATAGTTTTCATTATTTAAAAAGGTGACATTTTAAAAAAGGTCAAATATTTATCGGCTTCTCACCAAACTTTGTCTTAGGCATGCTTCATAATTACACATTTTATTTAGTTGTGTATGTATACATATATGTATGTACTTCTGTCCGTGTTCAGTGAACACTGTTCACATATTTATGTATGACAATCATTCCGGTAACAAATAAAGTAAAAGTGTATTAACAATTTTACACTTACAAGAAATAGCAGCAACCTTTTCCTTTGACCATGTATTGCTACTTGATGCCATCTTACGTAAAATATTATTTTTTGACTTGCCAAAAAACAAATCTTGACTGAGCACTGCCTGGTGACCGACTCGTGAAATTGAGCTATACGTGTGCCACTCTTTACCTTTGTATCATTTATTGTACGAAAATGGCGTTAAGCGAACGTGACTATGCAGATAATCCTATGTAGACGTCTACGCACTCTTTCAGCTTAATTTTAATGATAAAATCAAAAATATAAAATCGTTCGTATTTGTGTAATTCAACAATTAACGGAATGGATAATTTCATCCATTTGGTGAATAACTATGTAACTTGATTTTACAAAACGAAACACTAATATCTAAACGCTGTATGAAAACTGGGTGTTGGCTGATGACTGACCCATTCCAACAGTCCTATACATATTTATTACATATGTGTACATGACACATACCGAATTTATTCATCGCATATTCGCAACATTAAATTAATCGTTGGATTTGTGGGGGCTCGCATACCTGGAGATAAGCCTCTAAACGTGGATATCGACACCTGCATATGTAAGTTGGTGTCTTGTATGTGTAAGCAAAAAGGATGGGTGTGAGGGAATATGAATGTGGTGGGGATATGTATGTACAACTACATATTTACAGATATCGGGTTATCATTTATACCACTCTTATTGGCTGCATGAGCTGCACGGTGGCCGCGTAAACGTGGGGACAAAGGGTCAATCTCGTCCGCATGGTTATCCGGTGTCTGCATCGTTTTTCTATATGTTATATAAATCCTGCCCCCTTCTAGGTTAGAGTGTTAACATTTTCAAAGGTTTGCACAGCTTTTGTGGCCACTGGAATTGGATATTTGACATGTTTTGAACTTATCAAATCCGAGTGTGAGCCGATCATCTCCGAGTAATTCTAAAATGTTCACGCATTGAAATATTTACATACATAAGGGCACAAACATTTTTCCGCTTTGTAGAATACACATTCTTCTATGTATGTACATGAGGTGGAATTTTTAAGGAGCATCAAAATTTTTCCAAGATTATGTAACGGTTGGAACTTTAATCCGATTTCAGAGGTTAAAAAACATGCTTGCTTATGATCTAGAAATTTTGCAAAAAATTAAAAGAATGGAGTTTCATGTTGTACATACATGATAAAGCAACGACTGCTTTTTATACACTCGACTATTACCCCATCAAATACACGTTATATTTAATTGTAGTAAAAGTATAAAATTGCTGGAAATTGTTGAACTGTTGTAAAACTGTGGAAACATTTATTTCGAATTTTTTTACATTCATGTATCCATTAAGTTTTGTTCAAATGATTAAATAATCTTATTTTATTTTATTTTATTTAACTTTGACTAAATGCTTATGCAATTCAAGTGACTGGAATATATACAATTTTGGAAAAGCATATTCATCTAAAACTAGGAAATTAATATTGGAAATAATTAACTACTGTAATTATTCCTGACGAGCTTGCTTGCTACCGTTTGCTTGTGGGTTGTTGATGTGGGTTTCAGTCTGGCGGAAAGCAAATAATCAAAGTCGTCTCGTGATACGGTACACTGAAATGTCATACATGACTTTCTAGTTCCGTTATGAAACTGGTTACCGAATTTCAACTACGTCGTCCGTTACGTCGATAATTGGCGGCATTGGCCTAATCTTAAATAATTCCCACTACAATTGATTGGGAAATGACTAAACGTGATGGGTTTGATTTGAAGTTTAACCCGCTCGAAATATTAATCAAATCGGCACGTGTTATTGGCGGGCAGCAATTTCATCACCCTTAAACATTTTCCAATCAATAATATAACCAATGAATAACTGAAAATCACACAATCTACTTATACAGAATCTATACATTTGTCTAAAGCAATTCCCTACAACGTGCCTACACTCAGTTAAAATGCCTATACATGCGAAGATTAAACATACACCGAACAAGATAAATACATCTACCACAGCCTGCAACGAAATAGGGTCGGCTTCAGAAAATATGATTGGTTCTCTCTCTCCCGCCATAGCTTTCGCGAAGTGATTAGGAAATGTTGCATTGTTCCTGAGATATTGCAAACTTAGAGGAAAGTATAGATTACTCAATTTATTCCACCTTTCCTCCAAACCAGAGCTTGAGAACTGTCGTAATTTGTTAAGGAAAATTGGGAAAAGAAAGCTTTTCATAGCTGTAGAAAAGAGGACCATGCCGAGTTTAGTATCTCTCTCGCCCTGAATGATTAATCGGCTACCATTCCATCTTAATAATCTTCTTGTCAACACCAAGTTCGCTTCTAGGTCTATGATCGCAAATGTTGTTTTTGTTGGAATCGAATTATTGTGATAAATTAATGGTCTGGAATTGTCAATATTTTCAAAAATTTAAAATAAAAGTACGAACTAGTTACTGTTCTGGTATAGAACAGCTTTTCTTCTAAACGTTCAAGTGTTGCGAAAAAATTTGATGTGTTTCCGACTAAATTAACTTAAAGGTAGACCCTGTCGTAATAAGTGGAATGTTTGAAGCTACTAGGTCATCCAAATTGGATGGAAGGATGGGTAATTTGACCCCACTCAAGAACGAGAATATTGATCCAGTATACAAATTGGCCATGATTATGTAACATCCACACAACAACCAAACTGTGAGGATGGGTGCAGCAGTCCAATTCTTTTTATGGAACATCCTTAAACTGTCCCCATTCACTTGACCGAGCAGAATGCAAACGACGTTTAGGAAATTTGGGATGAAGTTCCTGGCAAAATTTGATATCTCACTGGTTAGCCCCATAATTAACGTTATTATAGCACAGAATCCAAATAAAACCAACCAAACCAAGTTATCGAAAGGGGACAGAGACATTAATTCCATTAAAAGGGGTAGGAAATGAGGTAACAAACATATATTGAACCATTTCATGGCGAACGTGATAAGGAATGGAAAATCCCGTGTACTCGAGGAAGATCCAGTCAACGCGAAAAAAATATACGAAAGTCTCTCCTCTCTGGTAGTTGGACTTCGAAAAGTTGAATATTTTTGAAAGTGAGATAAGTGTACAACTATTTAAATTTGACACCTTTGCGTCTAAGTTTTTAGTTTCACATTGATTACCCTCTATCAATAGGTTACTACCGGGAATGGCTACACCCTTCTGGTGAAGGTTACTATTTATGCGAACCCACACCCTACTAATTTCGGAAAGGGTGAAACCTTCCCCACCTATGTGATACTCTTCCGGGATTTGTGAAGGATCACAAAGTATGCAAGGAATAAGTACTTTATTAGGGATCCTCCAATGGAAGAGAACCAGGCTGCCGGTTCCAGAATTTATATAGAGTGAGTCATAATCCGAAGGACTCAGCGACTCGTCACAATGTTGGAAGAGGAATAAGGGGTTGCTCGATTTGAAAATTGCGCCTCGCAGACGAGTATAAGGTTCATCTATTTCATATTCTTTGGAATCCATGTGGAGAACTGTAACCAAGGATGTCATCTTCGAGTAGAAGTGTACTCCAGTGGTTGTATTTCCTTGATTAAGGATGCCCACCGTGTTCGGACCAAAATGAATTTGAGTCAAAATAATTGGGGTTGATGGATTTGAACTTAGCAAATCGTTGAAATACGGCGGGGAAAAATAATCCGCGTTTGGGATTCGGGCATTACCGTGAGCGGTAAAAAGCGTTAGGTGACAATTTTTAAATAGATTCGGGATATTCCAGAAACCGCTGGATGGAACTGGGAGAAGAATAAGAGACACTGCAAGAATCCATATTATTTTTTCTGCGCTATGCGCACGAAAATAACGATGATGTGGCACACTCATCATGGAAAATAAAAAAAAATTGATCCACTAAATATTTTGTGTCGTAGATTAAAAAAAATAAGTTGAAGCACTCCTGAATCTGAATTGGGTACGACAGTTTTACAAATTTCAAATATATTCTACTAATTATTCCTGTGTGGTAAAAATACAATATATTGAGACTCTAGGAACTTGGTTGTGTTGAGGGTCTAGAAATGATCCTAAAAACCACAAATTATCGTATATTTTCAATTTATTTTCTCTTCACGGCTAACCTGTTTCAATTGATTGATTTACAAGTATTCCCGTTTTAATATCCTCTTCGTACCAGAGTACATGGACATATATCTATACATACCAATGTACATATTTGAGAAACGAGAAGCCTACTTTCTATTTTAATTTTTCTTTGATTCTATCCTCTACAATAATCTCCGATGCTATTTATGTAACTGACCTTAGTAACAATAAAATTGTGTGGTAGGTTGAGAACCATCAAGTTTATACTGCACGCAAGTAAAGTAACAGTATTTTCTGGCTAGCCAAGAAATATATAGCAACCGTTCGCTCCAATTACAAAATTAGTGGGGGAATTAACGTATATTTTGTGAAAGCCATAAATATGTACCACTTCCAAACTTTAATAAGTTTTCAAAGAGTTTCGACGGGGCAACAAATCGCATTACTTTATTCTCTTTGTGAACTGCACGGCACAAAGTGCATCTACTATCGTCCTGAACTATGTCCTTCATGACACCGATGTCACAAATGCAGCAAACTTGCAACTTGCAACGATGCAACATTTTTAGTCAAGTTCATACCAGGGTTCGGAAAACATCGGGGTTTTTGTAGATTTTGGGTTGGATTGAAATAAAGTTTGTGAGATTACTTAAAAGGAATCTCACAAAAATAGGATTAAAGTAAAACTATGTAAATTTACCATAGAGTTTTCATCATTGCATACGATGCGAAACTGTAATTTGCATGTTCGTAATACTTGTAAAATTTTTTCGCACATGAACTTTCTGAATTCTTAAATTTAATCTGTATTAATCTTAATTGTAGTGGCAAAAAGTTTGCTTTGATTAGAACCAAAATCTTGCAAACCCACGGAAAAACCTATATATAACGACTCACAAAAACCCCACTAAGCTTTCATGACCTGAATTTCAGGTGTTTCCGAGATTTAATACAGAAAAACATTAAAACCTCAAAAACCCGGGAGCAGCTTACCCTGGTTCGCACAAATTTACCCATATTGTGATGCCAATGTAATTTATGAAATTAGTATAAATGTGAGAAATTACGGTGGTATTAAATCCACCAAAAACTATTTATGGATTGCATTTTTGCGTATGTAAATAACGGATTTCAATTGTGTTCAGTTCTTAGCATGAAAATTGCCATTATTTAAATGCAACAACAAGTATAAAATTGTACAAAACTTTTTTCAGGTATCCACTGCGTACTGGGGACAGAGTCTTAATAAGACTTTATTACATAATATGTAATAATAACTTACAATATCTACGACGCTGTCAACGGTCTGCATGAAA